TGTTGCGGTACTGTTTTCCAAAATTGTTTCAATTTCCGCACAAAAACAAAAAGTGGGTTACCATAGCTTCTCGTACTGACAAGGAAAAATCTTCAATCACAGATGTCGTTGTGGGGGAGTTTGATCATTATATCATTAATGATCTATCACAAGAAAGAGAACCGTTGCATCAAAAACAGGAGTAACATGAACGAGTTATCATTGATAAGTCTATTGCAATAGTTTCAGACAATAGAGATCAACCAAAAACGTCTACTAGGAGATCGCATTGTGCTAGTAGGGCTCTTGAAAGGTTTGATGTATGGGCAAATTCATCCATTCTTGAAGATTATGACTTTGATGTCGAAGATGAGGATGATATGACATTGATTTTGGAAAAAAGTGAATTTTTTTCATACAGGGTTAGCTCAAGCTTCGGTCAACAAGCTTGATTGAAATGCTTATATGAAGCGGGAGATGAAATCCCTGATTAATAATAAGACTTGGGAGATTGTTGAGTCTCTTACATATCAAATGCTGATTGATTCTAAGTGGATGTACAAGCTGAAAGACAATCCAGTAAGAAACAAGGCGAGAATCTTCAAAGCTAGGTTGGTGGCTCGAGGTTTTACACAAGAAAAGGATGTGGACTACAAGGAAGTTTTCTACCCTGTAGCTAAGTATGCTACAATTTGTCTGATATGTGCACTGGTTGTGATATTTGATCTTGTTATGGATCAAATGAATGTGGTTACAACCAATCTCTATAGATATTTAGAGGAGTAGATCTACATGAGACAACCTGTTGATTTTGAGATCAAAGTCAAAGAGAGGTTAGTTTGTAGATTGTTGAAATCATTGTATGGATTGAAGCAAGCTTCTAGGCAGTGGAACACGCGATTTGATGAGTTCATGAAGTCACAAAGTTTTTTACGGAGCGTGTATGATCCTTGTGTGACAAACTTGAGTGAAATGTAGAAGTAGACCAAGAACATGAAACTTTGAAAAAGCCATATACAACGGTTTCTAATCTGTTATATCTTGACTTTCATAAACTATACTTCCTAGAAATTAATACTTCTGACTATGTACTTGAAGACATCTTTTCACAACTTGACGAAGAATGTTGTGTCCATCCTATTACATTTCACACATAAATATTTAAAATTGCCGACCTCAATTATGAAATCCTCAACAAAGAGCTTTTAGCCATTGTCGATTCTCTCCAAAAGTTGAGTCATTTTCTTGAAGTAGCATATCATTGGGCTACGGTTTACATCAATCACAAAAAATTTAAGTACTTAATGTCTGCTAAAGTATCAAATCAACAACAAGCTGCAATTATTAGAGTAAATCATTTTTGCACTTCAATTTAGTCATCACCTATCATCTTGGATACAAGCAAATTTTGTCCGACGTTCTTTTCATACAAGCGTATTTTGCACCTAGAATAGGAGATGGAGCTTACGGCTTGAAAATGATTATCCTGATCAAGACTGAGCAACTTTAGATGAAGAACATACCTTACGCACCATAACTTTGATAGATGCATTTTTTCTCCAAGATCTTAAATAAATTTAAAATCAGATACTTTGACATTCAAATTGAAGAATAATGTTGGCATCTTCTATACTAGAAGAATATTAAATCTAACCTCAGAGCCTATAGATTTGAAATCTCCTAATCGACCTACCTTCAGCTCACAGATTTGTAAATCTTATAATGCTCATCCAATTTCAAGACGCGATTTTACATTAATGGGGATTATTTTATATTTTTAAGTTCCAATCCAACTCCTAATGCTTCAATCTCAACAGGAATATACATCAACCTGACACTTTTATTACCACAAGACTATGAAGATGATATCCAAGGACTTTTTGTGATTTCATCTGTGAAAAACCATGAAAGACTATGTCACGACATGTGACAACTTCTCTACATCCAAGATGTCTCTTCATCGTTCATAAGGATTACTTTGATTGATGTCGATTCCACAAGCGCCATGAACATTCATAATCATGGACTTTATTGTGAACCTTCCAAAGTTCAAATCTTTTGATTTAATTTTTGGTGTAATGGGTTTCATTAAAAAGATGACACACTTTTTGTTTTGCTACAAGACTATCACAAGCAAAAAAATGGCACAACTTTTCTCCGAAAATGTGTATAAAAATCATGAGAACGTCATCTACTTGTGGCTAGCCGTTTCCACCCAAGTTATGATAATACCTATTCAAAATTTTACAAATCAAGATCAATCTATCATAGGTACATCATACTAAGAATGTTGGACAAGCTAAACCAGGAAATCAAGTATTGATGCTTCATCAAGTACAATCAAAACAATTGGGTGAATTATAGAGTTTGCCTACAACATTACATTTTAAGATTTCATCCACTAAACTTTATTCTTCACAAACTATGAATATCATACATGATTTAACTTTTTGAACTTGAATTGACAACAAATCCAATTGCGCAAGATCATGTGATGTGACTTTTGGAGATTCAAAAAAACATGAAGAAAAGATTTGTAGAAGCTCAAGAGCGCTTGAAGAGAAATGCAGACAAATCTTGAAAGCAAAATCCAAACATTTCAACTGGAGATAAAGATTGGCTTTTGCGTCACAATATGAAGAGTTGTTGATTGAGCAATAAACTTGACTATTGTCGTCTTAGAACTTTTTGTGTGAGTAAACAAGTCAACAAGAAAACATACAGTTTGGATTTTACATCATCTATGCAAATTTTTTAAATAATTCATGTTTTCTTCTTGAAGGTTTGAGTGTTATTATGAGTTTTGAAGTTTACGTCCTCAACAATGAGTAATAGTCAAAATGAAATATTTTGAATAAATATTATCTTTTGTTATTTGAGAATTTATTTTCAATTTGATCATATAATAAGATCATCAAACTGGAAAAATTTTGAATTACATAAAATTGATCAATACTTATGATGTGTTGATGCTTTAAATTAATTTTGATTTAAAAATTTTTTTCAGATACAATCAAAATGCAAAATTGATTGTTTCAAATTTTTCGCCTATCTAGAATCTCAAATTCAAATGTCATGTTCTTTTTATGTAAACTTATATATAGTTTTAAAAGAAATAAAGAGTTTAGAAACTAATTCATTTATTGCATTTTTCAATGTATGGAATTTTCAAACATTCTTTAATATGAGTTTTCAAAATGATCATTACTTCTGTTTCATGTTTTGACAGGTAATCTTTAATTACTTTCAAACATTGTAAACGTTGAATTTTTTGTTTGTTTTAGCAAGTCTCACATGTATACAATTTCATTATCTACAAAAGTACTATTCGTACTCTTGTCTACTTATAGTCTTTATTTGGTTGAAACTCTACTTGTTGGGGAGAAAATTATTTGATGGTAATCCATGTTAAGACAAATTACTTCCTGGGATCATCAAATTTTGTTTTATACGAGGGCATACCCTATCAAAATTCTAAAACCTGTTCCTGTACATATGTAATTCAAACTGTAGACTCTGAAAGTTTGTACCTGATCTTCTGAAAAAATCTCTAACTGAAGGAAGTGATTTGGACAACTTTTCTTCTTGAGCTTGGTGACGAAGTTGAGAGTTTGGGATGAGATAAAAAATTCATGGAATAAAGATGTGAAGGTCTGGAGATTGTGCTCTCAATGACATCGAGAACATGTCATCTCTCGACTTAATGGATGGGGCATACGCTCCCGGTTGCGGAAAGTCGTCACATCTTATTCGCGAGATGTCAGCGCAAGGAAACTCTCGCGAATGTATTCCGTGGCGTCGTCAAGTGTTTAGATTCTTCTTCATCTCCTCCCAATGAGATCATCGGTAATCTCATTTCAATCTAGCTTTGATGCAGCGGTTCATGCGGATCGTTCAGCTTCATCTAAAATAACGACCTCACTAATCTTGCATATACTCAATTTTGCCATCCGAAGTCTACCCGAACATCGCAATAGCTCAAGGAAACTGCAGACAGACTTCAATGCAATCAGCTGACATGTTCAATTCTACCACTAATCTAAAGGTTACAGAAATTCGAGTAATTCAATTTTCTGATCAAACCACTTCCCTCGATCGCTCTGATGTATTGTCATGAACACATTCTTCATAACTCGCCGATTCATGGAGCTAGGATGTGACAAACGTGATGTGCTCACAATGCTCTACATCCTGTGTCGAGACGCGAGATTGTTACGACAAAACTCCACTAGATAGATTGTTGCGGCAGAACTCCACTAGATAGATGCAGTCCCGTTGGTTGACTTGACACAATCGGACTTGTCTCCACCCGTCAGTTGATACTGGAACATGGATGCAATTGTCGTCGGTGGGGTACCAACGAAACTTGATGGATCCCAATAAGCAATTTGTGTTACAATGGTGTCGCTCAATTAACTCCTTGATCGGACATGCATTACAAACAATCATTACAAACAATCCTTGTTCGGAAGTAATCCATTCTTGATGTTCTCATAATTATCTTGAAGTTATTTGTTCTTCAAATGACAACCGATTAAGACGCTTGAGTATTAAGTTGGTTTCGGTTTTGCAGGTTTACTCGTTGTGCCTGCATGTAAAATAACAAAAAGTTGTTAGATTCATCCCTAAGTCATCAAGGAGTAATTTGTGTTGGGAGTAAGCCACGGACATCACATGCATTCCCACTTCTTCAGAACAAGAATCCAATGCAGTCAATCTCAAGCAACTCCGACTCTGCACCCACGATGCCATCCGTAGTGAATTGTATAAAATAAAACACTTGAAATTAACGATATCAACTGCATAAGCATCCTTTTAAGTATTGCGACAAGTACACGAACAAGTTTAATTGGCAGACATGAGTGTTTAATTGGCAGACTACATCGTACCGACTACATGTAGTCGGTACGATGGGTGGGGAGTATGAACTTTAAAAGCATAAAATGAATTATAGCTGGAGAGGGCAAACATGACAGCTTAGTATCCTTCGAAAGAGTGAGTACAGTCCAGTAAACAAAGCTACTCACCAAAAGAGAAATCAAATTTGTATCTAAAGTACATATGTTCAAACACCAGAAGCAGTCCAAATCATGGCTAAAAGTAGTTGAGTAGATTTGCCACATATATATAAATTGCAAAACCAAGAACAAGTACTCAGAACGGGTCTGTGACTGAGATTGAAAGATGTAGCAGTACAGTGAAGTCGTAATGAAAGCTGTAGTTCCCATATACTTCCATATATGATGCTAAGAGGACAACGATCATGTAAAGAAGGGAGTGAAGATGAATCAAAACAAGATTTCTCCACCACCGCTGCAATTCAAAGTATCCGATTCTCTTCCTTTGTCCTCCTCTGCTTGATTTGGAGAAGACGACCATCCCAGCTTGATTTCTCCTGCCTCAGCAAATTTACGAGCCGTACACAAACCATACAGGAGCCACGACGCGAAAAGATCCATCGGGAATCAGTATATTGAGAAAAAGGAGATGCTAGTGCTAATGAACAATCTACAAATGATCAGTGAGAGGCATGTAAACTTAACTACTTACCCGACGTTTACATAGGATGATTAGTTAGTATACATCACTTAGACTAATCCTGAAACGTACAGTAGTATTGTTGTTGCACTATTTCCATAGAGCTTGACAAAGGAAAATTGACCTTGTTGGGATGAACAGCAAGTTCTGTGAGTATATGTATTTTATTTCCTGCACAACATAACATCATTCAATGTATAATATATACATAATATCATTCACTACTAGGTTCCTTGGCTTTATTTGGTTGCCAGCATCGAGCACGGAATCCATATGGTTGACATATATCGGCTGCATTGGCTGCCTGAAGTATACACTGCCAAATCCATGTGACAATGCAAGAGGAGTTAACCATTGGAGTTAACGATTTGCTCGGTGGTGGCTCACCCAATCCGACAGCGTCACGTTCTTGTCGAAATATGAAGCCTCAAAATCTTCCATGCAAATAGCAAAAGTTACCACGAGGGATTCAAGATTTCTACAATTGTTCACTCCCTGTACTAGCCCTTTCACCATTACATTTCTAAAGACTTCACAAAAAGCCTGCTGTTTTCGCAACATAGATACTTGATTTGTTTCACAGTCTGAAGTGGTTCGATAAATATAAGGCCCAGGCAGTGGTACTTCGAAAAACTCGTAGGTTTGAACTACTTTTCTCTATAGCGACATAACCAGAGTTATGTGGAAAAAAAAGAAAATTTCTGTGTAATGACTGTTAGTAGATAAGGGCTAACACCCAACGAAACAGGAAACATATAAAAGCTCGGAAATTATACAGGCATCCGACAAGTAGTATTCTGAGCTGTAAGTATTTGGATTTCCATGTCAAAATGCTAACGAAGAACGAGACTAGCTTAAGAAGAACAACGGAACTTTCTTGAATTTTGAATTTGTCGAGCTTTACTGCTGGTTCCGATCTGATCAGACGACACGCTAACATGACGGAGAAAGACCTAACAACGCCAGAGACATAAATTCACGGCTGCTTACCCTTCAATGTGATCATTCCTTGCTGCATGAAAAAAGACATTGAATGTTGGTTAGACCTCGACAAGTCAAAGCCAGACTGTACAGAACAAGACTCATACCTTGGTAAATAAGAGGTCTTCGGACCTTTTCCTCGTTCGTAGCTATAGTAGACTCATAGAAAGAACAAGGATATAGAAACAAGAGTATCGATGTGGACATTGCCATATACTGAATGTGGGAGAAGTGACAATACCTGTCACAACTGCTTGAAGCCGATGCCACTTTCGCTCAGGCTAGAGCAAAAGGATGTAGGCCCCATTGAAAACTTGAAAAGTCCTTCCGCTTGAGAAGATTTCAATATTCCTTTGGAGGAGAAGGAGGATGATTGCACCATGTTTGAGTACTGATAATATTAGTAGAAAGTGATAACATACCGTCATCCTCGTACTCTCCGCCAAAGGAAATGCAATCAGAGGCTCAAGCAAAAGTTATACCAACCTTGCGGAGTAACATCCCGGGTGGACTCTCTGATACCTCTGTAGACGTCAACGAGTTATGATCAAGTTCATAAACTCGTGCTCCGATGTCTTTGAATGACGATTTAGTAGGGAATTGATCACTGTATGTGACCAATCCCCTATTAAAACCGAGCTTCAAACACAGCTTTTACTAGTATTACGGACTCACACTGGAAACCTCCATTTAGGAATTCCTCTTTTCTGTGATCTCCACATCAGTCCACATTCGGCTATCCAGATTGTACCTTAATACACTCATGTACTCTTTCTGCCTCAGCACACATGTTGTAGAGGTTTCCGTCAACATACGCACCATGGGAAGAGAGAGTCCCAAAAATCACGGGAGATGACTTGCGCGTCCACCTTCCTGAATTCAAATCGTAAAGCTGAACTCTAAAATCATGATAATCTTCCCGATTGGTAACAGCATCAAGTTCATTGTCAAGGATCTTATATCCATCTGAGTCAAGAAGGATTACAAGTGGCATGAGATCTCTACTGAGTTGTGGACAAATTGGCTGGATTCTCGAAATCCGGTCAGAAAGTTAGCCATGATAAACGTGAACCCTCGACGGGAAAAGTGACTGAACGACAGGAGGGGCCCCCTCCCAAAGCCCTTTCCCAGACGTAGAATACTAGTTGAAAGTGAACGGACTGATATATACGCAATTCTGCCAAGTTTCAGAACCTCGATCAAACCCTACTAGAAGGTGACCAGACTCGCGGACACCCGAGACAAAGTTGACCAATATGTGGGCCACCGACGGGCAGCAGATCTTACCTCATCCAGGAATGGAGAATCCAAGGGCATGGAATCATCGTCAAAAGGGAGCGGAAACTTCGAGTTCCACCATCCGGACACAACTCGAAATTTAAAACATTGCGGGAATACCATCTTTGAAACAATCTTCTCCACCAAATCTTCTGTAAGATTCGCTCCACAATTATCCATATTCTCGCTGAACTCAGGATTGCCAACGCTGATACCATGATCTTCCTCATCGAGCGTACTCATCACAGCTCTCAGAACACGTCGAGGTGTAGCATTTTTCCCGCTGACCTGAGATGAGGCGCAAAGGGAACTTGGCCTGAACAAAGTAAGTACAGCATGCGCTCCTCCGATCTGATGACGATCAACAGGAAACTGAGGTCCCTTCTACAGTATTGCCTTCGACCATCTTTCAGGACCATTCAGCAAGGCTCACAATTACACTCAGTCAATCAACTCCGCTAACTCACATTATGCCACCACCACCTTTCACACGCTTGTGACCGACAGCAGTCGGTCACCTCCAAAAGTTACAAAGAAAAGTGCAGCGAGCTTTAGGACTCCATCGATGGCCAGTGCCCCATTTTCAGTCGCCCAGCTTCTATGGGCCGGACCAAAGCTGTCTAGGCGCAACAAATACAACGTACGGCCTCCTCGCCCTTCTACGTCCCCATATTCGCCCGCTTTTATTGCTGAATGATGAATGTTTCTGCTCAGCCCTGCCGGCGTCGTGTAGCTCAGTTTCAGGAACTGAGGAGATTTGGGAATGCTTGGAGTGTCCTCATTCCATCACCATAGGCGCTTATGTGTCCTTGTGTATACTCTTTGGGATGAAATGAGTACATTACATTACCATGTTATGCAGCTAATTCACATTTTCTCTCTCTCTCCTTCCAGACCACCTCTCTATGTGACTTTGTGCACATCTTAGATAAGCACCAATCTGGTACTCTACTTTCTTGGTATATAATATTACTCTTTAGTTACTCTTCAATGTGATAATTACATTCTCTTGTTACAAATTGAACATGGCTCATTTTTTTTGTCACCACCATGTTATGAGTCTTCTGGTCATCTTTAGATACATACAAGGTGTATGATTGTAGAGAAGGTTTAAGATGACTTTGTTTTGTTACATTTAAATTAACTTTAAGGTTCAGTCTTCATCCTCACACAGATGAATATTTTTTTGATGATCAACATCTCAAACGCAAACCATCTTGTAATAAGGTACATTCGCATTAGTATCATCTTAGACAAACGACGTTAACAAATCATGCAACATTAGGTTGCAATGGTCTTCAAGTTTGATACAATGAATGATATAAAGATCGCTACATTTTTCTGCTTTCAATGTAGTGACAACTTCTAGATCTTCTCTAATACTCTATGCTTGATGTGGGCTTGTTAGATCTCATTTTATGGCTTCATATGACTGAATGACTCTTACATCAGTGTCCGTTTTTTGTTTGTCGATGCGCGCTCTAAAATTTGCATCTAATTTCAATCTTGTTTTAAAGCTCATATTGGTTTGACACATTTCAAAACACTTTGCAGATTATTTAACCTATTGATCACTTACCAGAAAATGCGCTGATCAGTTGGAAAAATCTATTGTTTAATGCATTGTATGATGAAGTTTGGAACATGACTGATTAAGTTGTTGGAGGAATCGATCGATTCATGCATTGTCTGACAAAGTTTGAAACATGACTAATTATGTTGTTTATATCAACACTCGGCTACGATAATGTTTACTAGAAAAAACCATTTGGCTGTGTGATGTTTGCTTCAATAGTTGAACATTTCACTACATGACGTAAAACTGAACTTTGATAGTGGTATATGATATGCAACACTAGTTCCATGATCTTGCATCGTCGACAGCAGACATTTATTTTCAAGATGGATACAATTTGTCCGAAGACATCTGTGATTTGATGGCACATCATGTTAGTGACACAAATTAGCTCGATGAACATTACGATGAAAGAAATACTCAATATTTCAAAATTCCAATATGCTTCTTTTATTGTACATTACAACCTAAGAATGACGGCTAGTGAATTCTAAATCTCATCTCAAGAACTATCACGAGTATCATACATAAGACGATGATGTGTTTTAAAGATCATCGCATGACAATGAACTAACAATAGACAAATGTTAACTAATTGATTATGAACTTCATGCTCATCATTAATGACTAATGTGATTCTAACAAACTAGATTAATTTATTCATATCATTTGCAAAGATTCATTGACTTGCTACATTGACATCCAAATCTTCAACTTTGTTGTTTTTGTATTAGCGCATCTTACTAGTCTAACAATTTGAATAAATCAATCTATGTCATCAAACTGATTGGCTTCCTGCATTGACATCCTGGACTTTATTTTGCCAATCTAGATGGATTCATTCATATCATAGGCAAAAATTGATTAGCTTCAAATATTGAAATCCTAGATTTCATCTTTTACAATCTAGATAAATCTATTCATGTCATCCACAATGATTGATTGGTTTTATATATTGACATATTAGACTTTAACTCTCATTTTATTTTTTTGTAATGTTGTGTTTATTATTTTCAACATCGTCAACAAATTTATGGATTTCATTGCGATGAAAAATGAATGCGGCTGCAACATCATTCTCACATTGTTCACTACTGTAAATTTTTTTAAGCAATAAAGTTAAAATGTAATATTAACCGTGTTATCATCAAACAGATGCTTGCATCGACTATAATTGTTTTTTTTCTTATAGCTATACAATCTGATCCTAATTTGCAAAGCTCTGCAATATTTACAAGAAGTAATGAGAGGGTTAAAAAACTATCGATTCTCTTGATCATCGATGTTTGTTTGACAATGTGTGTATATTGTCATGTTGTTTCAATATGCAAGTTGACTTTTTTGGTAAATTATTTTTGCCACTTACCAACTTAACCTTAGTGAAGAGCAAAATTTTGATGTCAAAATTTTGTAAAAAACATTTCAACATGTTATTGATTGAATTTTTTTGTAAAGTACTTCTTCAATGCAAATACTATGATACTTTGAGCACAATTAAGCAATTAAATACTCTATTTTACTTTTTTTAGATTTTTTGTGTTGATGTTCAATCATATTAAATCTTATTTGAGATTAGACACTTGAATCATATGCCTATTTTTTACAAAAGTAGTCATTAGTTCCAACCTAACGACCATAAAAAATTGCAATATCCATATTAAAATAAACTTGATTGTCAATTTTGCGCAACAACAATTTGCAATAATAACAAGCATCAATCAATGAAAACATTCAACTTGTGTAAAAATAAATAAAAAGTATCTAATTCTTGATAATTATCAAAATTTAATCTATCTTTAACAAATTAAAAAAATCAACAAAGTCATCTGAACAACATCTATTGTAAATTTTTAAATGCAACTTCAATCATTTAAAAAATATCTGATTGAAGCTTTCATCCATAATTACAAATGAAAATATAAAACATATACTGAAATTCAGAAAACTTAAATGACAAATTTATCTCCTTCACCATCCTATGAAAGCAAAAAATGCCACTCATGCAAAGAAAATGAACTTAAATAATTTAGACCTAATAAATCGGACCTGAATTTATATTTTATGAACTTTAAGCTCTTCTAATTCTCTAACACTTTGTACATCTCATTACATGTAATCCTAATGCTACAAATTCAATTATCTTGAAAATTCATAGCTTTAAGGATCACAATAGACTCGAGCAATTTCAATTTGTTTAGCAAAAAATCTTAGATACAACTAAAAGAACGACTCAAGTCCTCCATTTTATGTTTTGATAAGACTCAAATTTTTAGATTAGGTGAATCTCACTAGATAAGTAAAAAAATTATAGATTTATCAAAAGAATTAATTTGCGATACATCAACAATTCATATGTTGATGCTTTTGTGATCCAACAGTAGATTTTGTTTCAAACTTTGAGATCATTGTCATCTTGGCTACAATTTTGACATTTTTAATCTTCAAACTTGTAATTGTCACCAATTCATTGATTCTTTGTTTGAAATTTCAATACCTTCACTCACATATTTGACCTATTATCATTTCACTCTCTTTCTTTCTCACACTGTATGAAAAAAGTTTAGGTATTATGTAACAAATTGAAAATTTCTGAATTGATGGATATCTTTTCTACTAATAGATCATTAGTTTAGTAGATTTGTCATGTTGTATATTCTCCAACACAACAATGACAACAGCACAGCAATGAAAGTAGCTAAAACAAATAGGTAGAAAGAAAAAAAATTTGGTTCATAATAAAATGTAGATTCTAATCTTTTATGTTGAATGGTTTCGGGAACTAAAATTTTTGAAAATAAATATGTTTAATGTATTAAAAAATCCAACATAAATTTTCAACTAATCAATGAGATTGATATCTAACTGAGGTTCATTTTTTTCTAAACTTTCATATGATACATAATTATAGATTCATGAACTTCACATGACATATATTCACTTTAATTTAAGTTTTTTTACAAATCAATTTTTTTTAATTATAGTAATACAACATATCAACATATTATAATAAAATTGACGTAAATTTATCAAAAAGTTAAGTCTACTCATATCATCATTATGAAAAAATATTGTTATATTTCAAATCATCAAATCTAACTGAATAAAAAATGATGAAAGAAATAATTTACCCATGAAGCAAGATTAATCGCAATTATCACTTGCATATTGTTTGAATTTTTAAAATTATAAAACCTTGATGTAGTTGTATTTATAACATTGATGATGAATGATTTTATAATGATTAATCTACCATATGTAAGAAATAAATTTATGCATATATACAATAATTGCTTCAATTTTTAAAAAAAAATTGACCTGAAATAAAAGCCACAAAATAAATTAGCTTTTAACTGGACTTGGAAAAAACTTATTTTTTCCCCATTATATAGCAGAAGATCGTGAAAAGTAAAAAAAAAAATAGATAATTGTGATGAAAAAATGATTCAATTTTTTTATGATTAGTAGATATTGTGGTTATATATCATACATCAGATGTGTTTTCGAAGCTAGAAATTAACTTATTATTTGATAAGCTTTGCGTGCCACACTTCCCAAGGGTTGGTTTGCAGATGTGGTGACTTGGTCTTTGAGGTGGAATGTGACGGAACTCGATTGGAATTTGCAACCTATTGCCCTACGCGAGCGTATTAAGGAGGAATTTCTCAGCATTATGTGGAGCACACGAGGCACCAAGATGCAGTTTTATCAACTTCATGTGAATCCTATGCTTGTTTATTGTGAGCAAGGATACTTACTTGCAGAGATATCTACTTCTTTACGTCATATTATTGCTAGACATAGAACTGGATCTCATAGTCTTGGGATTGAAGAAGGGCGTTGGTTGAACATTGATAGGAGTGAACGTATTTGTAGGCTATGTGAAGTAAGAAAAGTTGAGGATGAAGAGCATGTATTTCTTACTTGTTCTAGGTATGTAGAGATTCGAGTGGCGCATAAAGTTGATGTCGAGAATTTCTTTTCTCTGCTTCAACTCGAGCCTTATGATTTAGGTTGTTACATTAGAGATATTATTAGTTACCGTTCTAGTGCTTTGGGCACTAGCTAGGGGGTTCTTTTGGTTCTCTCCTTGTTTGGAGTTGGATTGTTTGTATTGTGTTTTTTAGCCTTTTGACCCTTTGGGTCCCACGGGCTTGATCTATTTACCATTTACCATTTATCAAATCAGATATAAGAACATTCTTTTAATATAGAAATATGCAAAAGTATCATATCTTGATTAATCTAGTTGTAGATTTAACTCATGTATGTGCATAACTTTGCATATATGCAAAAAGTTGATCTAGATCTTACCGTCCTTATTGGAAAAACATATTAGTCAGTCAATTTTATCATAATGTAGATGTACGTACTAACCTGCATACAACATTTATTATAAAACGTTAATTCATATCTTGAGTGTCTGCACTTAGTATTACTGTAATAAGTTATATGATGGATGGCACATACAAGCCGTCTTGTACTAACCTGCATACAACATTTATTATAAAACGTTAATTCATATCTTGAGTGTCTGCACTTAGTATTACTGTAATAAGTTATATGATGGATGGCACATACAAGCCGTCTTGTACAAGCTCTTTTCGATACATTTAGGTTTTGTGGATACATGAACGTATCAAAAATGTGAATTAGGTTTTATTTTCTAGATTACGTGTCAAGACATACATTAGTTGGTGCAATCCATATGTAAACTATCAATTTAAATTATATTTCTCTGGATCCTTTTGTTGTATGTTGACGGTTTCACCTCGGTAGTATATATGTTATGTCAAATAGTACATAAATCCATTTTGAACTATTAGAAGCTAGCCTTGTGTTGATTTCATCGTGAACCACTTGATGGTATAGTTCCATCCTTTTTGTTATATTTCTTTCTTGTCACAAGGTTGTTATGTTCAATAAATTTCACGATAAACCGTCCCAAGTATGAACATAAGTAAACAATAACCACTAAGAGGCAATTGTGAACATAATTCCAACTCGCGACAAGGACATATATGCCTTTACATCAGGTGGAAATGGAATCTGAATATACTGAAACTGAAGGAACTAATTTTTAAAACCTTGAAGATACAACGGAGTGTACTTTGATAGGTGCTCACGACTATTGAGATAACAGATTATGTGTCAAATATCAATTGAACATGCAGCTTTCATTTCAGACATAAATAACAATATATACATCTGCATTGATATGAACTAGGCTAGGCTTGCAAAGACAATAGCAACAAATCATTGATTTAGCCCAATGGCTAACACTCTAACTCACATGTGGCTGCATAATTTAAACAAATTTCTGTTCTCATTTTATTCATTCTCTGTAAACACATCACTTCAAGAATTCTTCTAATCAAAAGCCAGAGAAGCCTATGTTAATTTTCAAGAGAAAGTATCAAACAACTCACAAAATGGGCACTATGATATGTTTGATCTTGTTACACATGCACTTGTAGGTTGAGAGATCCTTATGACTCGGACTGGAGTCTGGAAGCATTCACTGCGGGTTTCATCGATGTTTGAATTCATGACCAGTCGTACTAATATGGATGAACATCGGCTCAGGGGAACCTTTTATCATGGTGGATAAGTCAGTCGGTAGTCTTGAAAACGACAACTGTTTGTGGTTCGCATTTGACACGGCAGAGTAGAGTAAGAGATCATGGATATGCTTGAACTGAAAGGAAATGATTTGCATATATTTAGGAGAAGAAATTCTGTGGAAAGATTTACTATGTATGTCATCTTAGACCTTCAGACCACTACCACCGACTAGCACTCAACATGTTCCACATAATGAATGAAACTTGAATGGCTTTCAGCATATAATGGCATTGACCTGACGGCAGTAATCTTGCTGGTAGTGCCTCTAAGGAAACCTGATTAACCATATCTGAAATATGAAGATGGATTTATCACGATGTATATAGTCAGATTGGATTCTTGTCATGTATTCCACTGGTTCTGGGCAAGATATATGAACATTGTGGTTAACTATTGATCCCTCGGATCTTCTCAAAATGTTGCAATCTCCTCAGCAATGCGACTTGCTTAATTGTGACTTTTCCATTCAGATAAATTTTAAATGAAATGTAATCATTACCAGCTCTGTGATTTTCATTTATCGTTACTAAAGTTTTCTTAAAAAAGGAGCTCAATTTGAAATGGATAATGATCTGATGAAAACAACTGAAATACAACGAAGGAAACGAAGGAGGTGCGTGAAAATTCAGGTATAGAAAATAGAGAAAAGATAGATAGAGAGAGAGAGGGCGAGAGAAAGAGAGCAATATTTCGGAATATGATGAAAAGGTACACATCTAACCCACGATTCATCCTGACCCCAGACACTGGCTCAGATTGCTGTACTATAAGTCATGGTCGTCAGAGAAAATAGCGATCAGTGTCCCGACTCGAAGACTTTCGTGTCCATCTCCACTGACGTGACATCAGGCACAGATCCTCTGCACTTTCTTCTGAACTAAGTGGAAGAGTTGGGAAGTCTTATGATTGGTAAACAAAGATATTTCCTGGTAGATTAGACAAGGCCATGGTACGAGGTCCTCAGGTAAAGGCAGTCCATCTATGTAGCGACCGTCTGAGTCTTGAATCGAATCTTCTCCTCCACTCAACTCAACGAGATCGAGTGAGTGGCACCGCCCATCACCGACAAGTTACTACAGACCGTGCTTTAGTGTTACGCCGTCCAACATGATGCAAGACCTGACGTGCCAGGGTCATGATATCAACGAGTCAGAATCTTCAAAGTACTTGAATGAAATGGTTCTTTTCAAGGTCTGAATAGTTGGGTAACTCTCTTTGCAACCTCCTCCCTTGCGTCCTCGAATTAGATATTGCCAACACGCCATATTGCCAAGCGCGTGAGGAAGGAATTTACAGCCATACGCAGATCATTCTTTGTAGCATATGCTAAGCCTTGCACATCTGCTGCAAACAACGAAACCTACACGTAAGCCTTCTGTAATAACGTGCAGATAAGGAGACAGTTTTGAAGATGATCCTACAATTGCCTTCCAATATAACTAAATATCCTGATATGAAACGGATTTTGAACTCTCGTCACGACGTCAGGTAATCTCACTGCCTGCAGATAAGCTTTCGCAGTAAAATGTTGGAACGAGTTACATGTAGCTCTTTGTCTCAACAAGCAAGTCATCGCAATCACTTTGAGAAAGATATATTCAGAACCACACTCAGACTTCATGCCGATGAGTACAACCCGTTGGATACTCGTCCAGCTTAAAAGTAGAGGACCAGAACAGCAGTCGCCTTACAATGGATTCTATAGATTCTTTTCAGTGCAAACAACTCTTGTTCGTTGTGGCTTTGCATGGTGGGGAATCAGATCTGTATCGACGACGTTTGATATTCAAATTTTTATTACAATATATGTGGAATTCATAACAAGCGATTTTCCAGCCTCTACTCCATGCAAGTGAAATAACTCTTTTTATCTAGGACAAATCTACATCTGTCGATAACTTATCAAACAAATGATCAGATGATGAGATCATCCCAGCACATCGACAAGCCTGAAGTTTAAAGGACTCATTGTCCTGACAAGACAAGTAACTTCTGGATCCACTATCCTGCCATCGCTGGTTTCTGGCACTTACAGAGGTGGTCCCTGTATTTCAAGTGCAGTGAACCGTGATGCAGCCGGCAATTGAAGACTACATTGCTCAAGACTGAGCCCGGAACTCGACATGGCTGCTAGTCTGGACATAGCCACTTGTCTCAGCATCCAGTCTTGAAGTTTGTCTCTTAGAGGAAACTTTCGATCGTCAATGACAGTGGACCATGTCGCAACCTGCTCTTCAAAATGGCATCACAGTCAATAAGGAACCCTTGATATGCTCACTTGAGTCACGAAAAGATCAAATTCTCTATATCATGTGACTGTAAAGACCTACGGTGGAGGCACCTGCAGGGGAAGGTGGTTCAGGAACCACAGGATGGTTGTGGTAGAGTGGCACCTTAACCGAGCAGTACATTCGGCAGAATGGTGTGGCGAAGTAATAAGGGAACACGAGCACAAGCACAATGGCCTCCGTCTGCAGAAGTCATGGGGAAACTTGCACCACTGTACCTCTCCATCACTTGACGAGACTGGCAACTCACAAGGTGCTTAAAATATGTACTACGGAGGAGGACATGGGGTAATCCGAACCCCCTAATGCTTCAGCAAAGGTGTGCAGGAAAAATCAATCGTGATCGCAAGATGTTTGTTCTATCCAAAGGTGAAGCCCACTTTGGCATCATTGTGGCACAGGCTTGAATTCTCCTGAGAGTGTGTAAATCGAGCGGTACTTGCCTTCCAATGACACCAAATTCTTTAATGAACCTCTCCACTGCCCTAGTTTTCAAATCAGGCCTAGCGCTAAAGCCAGCTCATGCTGTAAAATCGGGTATATACAGCAGCCGCTAACAATAGCAGTATTGAAAGTGCCCGTCCCGGCAGTAGGCCACCAGAGTACGTGTGCTGCCGAGCAAAAGTAAGTAGGCAGGCAGGCGGGCGGGCGGCAGGGTGGGCGACGGACGGCCATGCGGGCGGAGGAGCGAATGCAGCAGAAAACGAAATTGCGTAGGCCGTTGACGGATCTGTCATAAAGAGTGGTGATCGAGTGACCGTGGGGAGGGGAACGGAAGAACGGGGGTCAGGACGTGCCGAATGCCACCTCGCCTGGCGCTGGGGATTAAGAGCAGCAGTGGCTGGAAATAAGCGCGTCAACGTGCATGGAAATAGAGAGAGAGAGAGAGAGAGAGGAACATGAGCCAATGTAACATCATCATCTTCAGATCATCATCGAGAGGGAAATGAGAATACTCCCTGCGCGTTGCAGAAGGGGCAGATTCAGTGATCCGCCGGGCTCGCTCGCCTGCTCGAGCTTCGTTCCGGCCTCAAGGATATTGGATGGATGGATGGATGCATGCCACAGGCCGCGGAACCGAAGAAGATCCGAGCGCACTGCTACTGGAGCCACTTCAGACACATCCTGCTGCGCGAATCACATATGTCAATCGTCGCTGGGCTGGATCATGGATCTGCTGTGTTGCGGCGCACGCTCTGATCTGATACTCGCTCGCAGAGCAGAGCTGCCGGTTCTGCTGGCCGGAGCCTGACTCTTTGGCTATTGCTGCAGAATGTGTCTGAAGAGACGCCGGTCTTAGTGTGCTCATGCTGAACTATGTCAACGACGTAGCTCTCGCTAGATACGTGCGGCCGAACCTTTCTGCAGCTGCTCCTCGATGGGCCGGTCCATTCCAAACACCCCACGAGCGATTTAATCCCAGCCCAAATTTATATCGAATCGCCACAGCTCTGAGACCGGTCTAGATCTGCTGTGCGTTGCGGATAAGCACTCGGCTCTCGAGACCACGAGACCTTCTTTTCATCCGGAAAGGAGGAAAAAATAAAAACAAAGAAGAACCCCAGCTTTCCTCGACGGCCGATGTCTGCCTCCCTGAGGCTGGCTGGGGTGGGTCCATGTCACACCGCCACACAGACACAGAGAGAGAGGGAGATGGGGAGAGGGAGAGACTCTGAGTAATCGTACGCTTTTCTACTTCTCTTCTTCTTCTTCTTCTTCCCAGTCTCACCTCGCCACATCACCATACACCACACAAGAGGAGGCGTGGAGGCCTCGAGGAGAGGCGTGCAGCCCACAAAGCAGTTGGAAGGAAGGCAGGCAGGAAAGGAGTGGCTCCAAGAATTTACTGCAATAGGCACTACGTCGATTGTCTAAGTCTCTGAGAGTGAGTTTGATACTTTGAATCCTCGATCTTTAGAAGTCCGGGCGACGAGCAATCTCTCTCTCTCTCTCTCTCTTTTTCTTCGCTTCTTTGTCACTCCTGGATCGTGTAGACTAGCTAGCGGCACTCAGCATGTACGCACTGTGCTTTGCTGTGCTGAGTTATGCCGTGTAGGTGTGCTTCTGATTCACCAACCCTTCACGCACTCTGGAACCAGGGCACGGTTGACATTTGCCATCGTTCGTCTGCCTCCAGCATAGTCACACCACAAGTCCCGCAGAGAACTGGTCAGAAATCTGGGACAGAGTGTGGTCAACTACACCTTCGACTGCACTCTAACTAAGTTCTCGTTGGAACCCTTCACGATATCAGGTCAGACTCACTAGATCCGTGGCAACTCGTACGTGCCCTTTGGCTCTTTGACCACACAGTGTTTACACATGAACTGTGACATAAATCGTCGTTACGGTCACTCAGGTAATGAATACTAGTATTTGCTATCAAGTTTCGTATGTTGATTGCTAAAGAACTTTTGGTGTACGTGATCATGCAGTCGAATTTTTTCTGTATTTTTTTCTAGATATATTTTCCTCTTGGTACGTTATCAAAATATCATCATTATACCAGTTTAACGTTATAGAAGAAACATAATTTTCAACTAAAAGAAATTCTGGTAAAGCATTAAAATACCATGATATTAAAAAAATACAGAAGTCTATTGACCTCAAAAATAATAAATTTAATTAACACTAGACATTTATATTAAATTGTAAAGTATCGCTATTTACCACAACCAAACTTTGCATGATGAAACATAACTTAGTTAGTACCAATTTTAGCAACCGCTAACTCTCATCTTCCCCAAATTCTCTATCAATTTATTGCCTTATGAAGACTGAATTTGATGTGTGCATTAGAGAGATTCTTATTTTAATAAAACGTGGACAAAATTTTAATGCACTGAAAATTTTTAACGTGTTGAAATTTGCTAAAATTTTTGGGGTTGATTACTTTACATAATTTCCAAGGGAATACTTCTAAGATCTTTCGTTTCTAGCACATTTATATTTATGTACAAACACTCACAAGTTCGATGAGCTTTTGGAGCTTTTAAAATATGTATCTAGATAAAAAAATTATTTAATATAATTATATTTCAAATACGAGAGTTCATTTTTTGATAATAGAGATAAAAAATATCAATTCTAATTACTGTAACATGAAGTGAAAATATTATCAAAGTAGAAATTTTGAATATATATTCTGAGATATTATTTTCACAATTATAGTAAAAGTATAGTAAGTTTATCATTGATGAATAAATATGCCAAATGTGGATTTTCAAGATGATTGATGAGATAAATTCTTTTTTGAATAATATGAGATTGAAAATTACATTCTAGAAGAAAAGTACATTAAAAAATCATTCAAATCATTATACTTGGTAAGCTAAAAATACATATTTATATGAATTCTTATTGGAAAATTTACATTTAAAAATTATTTATCTGTATATATTGATATTCGCGTTTCAGATCAACGATTCCAGATTTTTGTGCTAATTTTATTCCGTTGGACATTGTTATGCTGCTTTCATTTACGGAGCCACTCTTCTCAAGCTTAAAAGTCACCACTTTTGATTTAGAATTTGCTACCAGTTTTCTGTGGACTTCTCTTGCAAAATTGAATTGCTTATCAAATTCTCTCGTCCATGCTATTGCAAATAATATTTGTAAAACAAAGTTAACATTGCTTTGCTTGAAAATTCTCGCTTTTGACATAAAGCTTTTACTTCTACTTCCTTTGGTATCAAATCTCTCTGCTCTCTTAGCAGCCTACACTGTTGTGACTTAACATTGATAGTCCTGATGTTGTGTCTCTCGTCAAGGTGTTTAACAATTGCTCTATTGCCGGCAATGTCATGTCAATATATATAGTTAGTAGTTAGTATGGGGTTAGAGTTAACTCTAGTTGAATAAACCTTAGGTTAGTGCCCGCATTTGCTAGCTGGAGAGAATCGTCGAGTGACGATTCAAAAATTCTTCAGTTCTTAGGAGTAACTTGCAGTAGGTTACCTATAGTGTACCGTTAGCATTCGCCTAGCAGGGAAAAGGTCTTGGCTTGTTTGTATACTAAATTTGTGTTTTATGCCAATGGAGTGTGTATATGTGTACGCTCTTGTTTGCCATCTGTATAAGTGTGGATATTAGCACAGCGATGTATGTTGTATGCGGATAGATATTAGCACAATAGCAAACAAAAGCAGTGACAAAGGAAAACAAAACAATTGAAATGTATCTTATACAAAACTGCGTGACCTCTCCATGGCCGTATATTGGTGGAATCTCGATATTTTACAGAGGTGTATTTCTTGTATACAAATACTCTTTACACAAGAAATACAAAATTTCTTTACAAGAAATTTTTTCTTCTATTTTGTTTGGGGGGGGGGGGGGGGGGGGGGTGCCATTTTCAGAGGCGTACTTTACATAGGTTGTAGTTTATACTCAGATATTATCTACTGTTATCAAACTGCATTAACAATATGCATCACACTTAACATTTCAAGGTCAAAAATTTACAAGCAAGAATACTTCAAGTGATTGACTCTGCATATATAGCTCTAACTAGACACTGACTAAACATCTCGAAGGAAGGTGATAACTAGTTTGCGACTAGTATGATAGGTTACATCACACTTCTCACAAACAAGCATAAAAAATCTTGATCATGATTTGTAAAACTTTGAATTCTAGAATGACGAAGATGTGTTTTTCTTTGGTTATGTACTTGAGTTAGTCCTTCAATTTGCAAATTATGCAAAAAGATAAGTATTCAATCATCTATGAAAAACAATCACATCTAGCGACATTTTGTAATAATATAACAAGATAATTAGCTTTTAGAAATAAGACAATTCTAATTGTCAACTAGAACTATGATGAATCTATATTTGATTTACTAGGGCCAAATCAGGGTTGCACATGTGATAAATATCTATCATATACAAGAAAAAGTGTTTTTTAGGGATGATTATTAATCTTCTTGGATAGACAGACGTTAGAACTAAAAATTCCCTGTCATGAGCATTTGCACCTCCAAACATTAAAATCATATGGAGCTATTGATGAAAATTTTCACATGGTTGTGAGACATTTATCATCTTATGTACTTATAGTGTAGCTAATTTTTTGAGGATGTGTTTTCGTTGCTATAAAGAAAGCACTTTCTTGCTCTATTTAAAGAAAAACAATGATGTTATGCGGTATGTTATCAAATATCCATGTTAAGTGTAGATCATTTAGCCATATCAGAGGTGATGTAAAATACATTTTGCATCATAATAGTTTTGAGATCCAGCCCTTAGTTTGTCTTTCACTTTTTTCCTTGTATAGCTTAATTGAATCTTCTCATTCTTTTTTATATCCACTTCACCCTTCGATGTTCATGTAACTGAGGTGTGGTATTAACCCCATTGTCTAAACAAACGGAATACTCGCACAGGTAGGTATTTAATCGAATGCTAGGTCCAACTATCTTCGGCAGACTTCCAAATCCTTTAACACCTAATGTTGACTTTAGAAAAATGTTTAAAACGTTTACAAATCTTCTTTCTTCCTTCAGCTGGATATTCCAGCTGAAGGAAGAGAGACTTGTAGTTTCCAATTCATTCTACATCAACTTTTCAAGAGTCTTGTGTTCGTTATCCTCATTGCTCTCCATACCTAATCAGTGTGTTAACCCAATTGACTTATGTGCCAACGATTCTTTATAGATATCACAAGCATTAATATATAATAGAGCGTCAGTACTTAGTTTCTACAAATGATGCGCTCTTTGAATACATACCGTGGAAACCTGTCCGGAAATGTCACATACCGTGATAATAATGTAGATTACACATAAGATTAGCATGTCGACGGGTGATCTCATGGATGGCGATCTGGTATCTTGAACGGATTTGGAGAGGTGAGAGAACCTGTTAAGAGTTTCTTCGCATGTCGAGCCCAGTGATATGCAGAGGTAAAGAACTTGATTTTGACGTTCGCACCCTACCAGCGAGGGTGTATTTGCCCAAAGATATGGAAAACTATTTACTGTGTGTTCTTCCAAGGGATCTAAGGGAAACTTTCACGACGTTACTCAGACAAGAGCGAGAGGTTTGAGTTTCTAAGATGTGCAGAGTTAAAGAGATATCTCTTGCATCGGTCCCCCATACAGCAAAAGTGGATTGGAGCCAGTACCGTACGAGTCATGTAGCCCTGAAGGGCTTTTTCCATCAGTCTTCAAATAACATGAAGGGGCAGTTGAGCCCGTGATCGTCGACCAATACCCGACTATGCATCTCAACAGATATGCAGAAATCACGGAACATTGAGTCACAACATAAAAAAGGCTTGACCCTGATATCCTGGACCCAGTACCCTCAAGTCATCTCCTGAGACAAGCGAAACTCTTAGCACGTTCCCGACCTGGAGCAACTGTGCTGGAGGATGGAATCTCGTCTTCCGAGAAAAATGCCCCAGCCAGCAATGCTCGGCATTTGGAAGTCAATTATTAGAAGTCGACTTCTCATTCATAATAACTCTTTGCCTTCAAGGTTTAAGCATCTACATTGCGCTGTTGTAAGGAACTTCATGATCTTTGAGAACGTTGTGTGAGCCTGCTGTTCATGGTCACCGGACTCATCCGGTAAAATCACCAGGTGTTATGCAGTCGAGACCAGTTTTATTACGAGGTACGTGTAGCTTTACATGGAAGACTACGTGTAGACTGCATTCCAATCCATGCGTTCTCCGCTATCTTGTGGAGACAACTGACGGAAGGTTTAACCGCCCGGGGAGTGTAGCCACAGTGATCGGTTACAAGGTGACAGATCTTCTTCTCGATCATGTAACGAATGATGTCTGTGGACAGATTCTTAATTATCGTAAGGCTATTTAAAGAATTTCGAAGTTGTTGACCGTCCAAATTATGGTATAATAGATATCACCCATCCTCCGAGAGAAACAAACGGCCAGAGGCCAAGTTCCAAGAGAGCTGGAGCTACAACAGCAGCATTCAGGGACCAGGGTCGATTCTACTCTATCCAAACTTTTTCTTCACGTGTACAGAAGGTTATAAAATTTGACGCCACGTACGAACTGAACTCTTCCATTTTAAGGTCCAATGAAAATTGGATTCAAAATGTTTATTTTAAGACTAATGTGATGCTAACTAGTCAACCGTGATGCCGATGCGAGCCTGAAAGAAATTCCACTTAGCTTGAGTACGGTGTCAAGACAAGAGCGAGGGATAATAGTCGAGATTGAGGGATCTGCCTTTGAGGGGGTTTACAATTTTTGTTGACTATCTGGCACTCGGTCATCCCATGGCTGGACTCGAAATATTACTAAAAGATATCCCATTCGGAGCGGAGGTTGACACTTTTTCGCAGTTGATGACCCCACGGAAGTCATGCATCGGAATCTGTTGTAGCTGGAGCTAATCACATGATGGCAAACTCATGTCGCTGTTAAACACGAAAGGACAGTTGTGAGCGATAAGCTGGTCAGAAATATGTTGGTGTAGCTTGACGCTACGATCATCTCGAAGTCTGGAACTTTCGAGGTTTGATTTCGATATGACACACACACTTAGCAAGGAGTGGCTTGTATCCTCACGCTCAAGTTTTATTCGTGAACGGCCCCCAGACTGTCAGATGTTGCTGAAGAGCTATTCATGTACCAAGTTGCGTGTACTCACTGCTGCAAATTGTCCACATGTTGTGGGGAACCACACGATCTGAAGAGTACAGATCTCAAGTCCATCTAAAGTAACCAAACAGCAGATACTAGCAACATTAAGCAACTTTAAACTCCTCTGTTCAATCATTCCCTTGCTAATTTCCAATTCATTCAGACATGACTTGTGAAACATACTAGAACACTACGAGCCATGTGAGAGCACTTAGAACAGATGTGTTTATCCGATTTCTTGGCTGCCCACGGTTCAATATTTAAAGCAGAAAGTGAGTTTGACGATCGTGGAAAATCACACGTTCTTCTGACATCCATCACGTCTCCATTCAGGTTGACGAGGAACGATACTCAAGAAAACTTCTCCTCATGTTCCAACTGTTCGATTGAGCTCGCCGCATGCAATGTTTGCGCCTGGCAAAGCCTGAGCTTTGGAGTGTAGAGAGTTCCATGAGTAAACATCGACACATTTGGAAGAATGGGGAGAGTCGGTAGAGCGAATCAGAACATATAATAAGGTAGGTGTATGTAGTATCGAGCTACTCCCGTCCAGCTTGTTTCAGAGGAACAACAGTTGAATCCAGGACTTCAGAAAAGATCCTTCGGAAGCACACTTCAGTCCATTCTTCCAACCACAATAGGCTTTGAACGTACGTCCCTTACATGAGAATCCTCTTGTTGGAGTCAGGCCCGAGCAAAAGGCATTAGACACGGTTAAAAGGAAGAAAACTTCTTCCATTTCAGGAGCTTGACTTCCATTTCCTGGAGAAGAATGATGTCTCAATCACGTTCGCTCACTTTAACTAAATCTAGAGAGTGACAAACGACCTTCATCACCAAAATCTCAGAAAAGAGAATGCAGTAAAAGTCTGATACAATTAATTCATGGACTAACATTCTTGATGACTTTTTTGAACTCTTCCAAGAGTTTCAAGGATTTCACGTCTAGTTCGTACATTCTAGCTCGGATGTCATGGGACGGAACTTGGCTACATACTTTCATGTCTCGAACTTCAAAAATATTTGTCAGCTGAACCTTTGGAGAACACAAATACGCATCTCCGTTTAGAAGTTTCTCGTTCTTTTTATAAACGCGAGAATTACTCTCTGTCCAGTCCCACTATCCATAGTGTATTTCAATATGACCATGTAAGCTCTCTGCCGTGGTCACTTGTACAGGAAACTCATTTCACCATCCAAAGCACTGTTTGTTGACGAACTGAAAAAATCCAATTCAGTTGAATTTTCTGACCATGCCCTGGTTGAGATATCATAAATCTGATCACTCCAGTCTGGTTTATCTGCCAGTTCATCGAGGAGCAGCTTGTATTCATGTGAGCCAGTTGGATTACCAGTGCCATAGGTTTTTTGTTGCTTTGTGGCGGTACGGCAGAAGTCTCCAGAGTCCGGTCAAAACGTTGGCTTTGTCGAATCCAGTTCCAGCCTGGGAAGGGTCCCTGGACAACATGATGCATCTCCCCAAAAATTTGTCCTAGCATACGCTTCCTTTGGATATGGGACTGCAGGATGGATGGTGAGCGTTCGACAAATTCCGGAGCTTCGATCGAAACCTGTCAAATGGGCACCAAATTCTCCACTTGACACGAAAGCAGGACAGAAACTGACCTAGTAGATGGAACAGACTTGACCTTGCAAGAAATAGAGAAGACAGAATATAGAGAAAGAGATAAAGTTTGCCGTCGGTGCTGGTTGCAGAGTCTTTCACGAAACTGCAACTAGCACCGACAGCAAACTTGGAGTACCAGCGTATCGACTACACAGGCGCTTGAAGTCTGGAAACAATCTTTTCGCCGAGATGCTCGGGAAGTTCGACGGTGAAGTTTGCTAGTTTTTCCCCGCGTTTTTTCGAGGCTATATTCTGAAAGGGCATCTCGGCCCTTGCAGAGAATAGCCTCGCAGGACCGACAGGACAGATCGTTTCTTTAAAGAGATGAGCCAAGTCAGGATCAGATGCACACTCGTCCTTCGAACCTAACATATAGTATATAGAGCCTTCGGTTGAAAACCTACTCACTCCATACACAAGATCCGACAGGAAACCCAGATCTGTAATTCTCCAGCTCCACACCCACGTGATTCTTAATTCGTCTCTTGCCATCACCCTACTGGTGACAGACTGTTCATGCGGCGACCAACTCTCGCCTGGCTGAAGAGAAGAAAATGCTGTGCTTCTTCGAGGAGGCGAGAACTTCTATGCATTCGTCGAGGATTTGTCACAATCTTACGACGAAATGTTAACGTGTTTGACACATGAGAGGTCATCACTATACACCACCACCAACGAGTCCTGACAAACGTTGTGCGGAGGAACTTCCGAGCTTCTCTGGAGGACATGCCCTTCTCCCAACTCCCACCTTGCACCTTGCCAGGTGCCATAGGGCAGAATCAAACAAAACCCACACCTCGAGTATCTTTCCACCACCGTCTTCTGCATAGGTCACCACTGTGTCTGATCCATGGTCCCCTTCATGATCTTCACATACATCTCGTTCATGGACACGTCCTAAGTTAGTACTCTTCGACAAACTCCTGGCAGCTATAATCATTATGAAAGAACACACCAGCTACTGACGTTTTGCTGGTGGACTGATTTGGTGACGCACACGTGAAACCATCTTTCATTTATACGCATCACAAATATGCGACCCGTGGGGTCTCATTCTCGCTCAAAGGTGAGTTAGGCAATATGGGACATTATGAAATTTAGTTCTGTTTCCGGACTGTCACTTCGTACTAGTACTCAAGGAGTTGATATGAATCCAAGTGGTGACGTTCGTATCTACCAAACTCAGTATGATTCGTTCGTATCACATAAAATGTCTACGTTTAAAGACTCTGACCAGAGCCTCTGGAGTAAGCATAAAGAGAAGACTGAGAAGACATAATCGAGTTTGCCGATTGAAGTTTGGTTTGAGCCTTGAGATGTGAGGTTTGGTTTGAGATTGACCGGTGCTGGTGCGAGCGAGTATCTTAGATTCCTAACAGAGCACTTCATTTCATCGGACCAACCGTGATGTTTACCCTTCGAGTCTCCACGCGCTTGCTGAAGTTTTATACCACTGTCCTTCTGGATGAATCAAAGCAACCTTGTTCTGCGTCTGGCACAGATGTATCCCACAACGGAATCCGTAGGCAGAAACGACGTGACACATTCTGAAAAAGGTTCACAGCGACACGATCCTCCTGTAAACTCCTGTGGCGTTTCGAGGCACAGAACATGCAGAACATTTGCCAAAAATCTTCACCAATTCCGCCCTGCGCACTTTAGCCACAGACCACCGGACGACCTCATATGCCGCAGGGGCTCCACATTGTCTTTCTCCTTATCTGCTTTTACTCTGTATACCGAGTCTTATGAACATGGCAGATGAATGTCATGCTCATATTCCGTTGGCAGGAAATTGAACTATCTCATACTTGCTCGACCACGTTCATCACAGGTGTGTACAGTGGTACCACCCAACACGTGCGTCGAATGCAACCACCTGGTTGCAGTTGCGTGTGCCAACAGCAAGAGCCTTGATTCACATGAAACAGGACGAAAGAGTGACCAAATGATTATCAAAACAGATTTTAAGACCCCAACAAAGGAACTACTTTTCTACTTTGGCAGTTTCGACTCGAAGAAGCCAAAAATAAGATCGTCAAAGCTTTCAAAAACCATTTCAGTTGGAATTTCAAAATATGGACAAAAAAAATAAATACGTACTACATTCTGCTCTGGGTATAATCAAGTGCTTCTGCTCCATTTCCCCAAGGTTTTATGATAAACTTAACACGAGATTCGCCCTCTTCAATGTTGAATGTGGTGGAAGCTGTAAGATTCTACTAAGCACTTGGCGACAAAATTACCACATTTTGATAGTCGTGTTTATCTTTACATATACATATGTATCCAGATATGTATTCGTAAAGATAAATGCGACTGGAATTCGATAGTGTCCTTTGTATCCGCCGGACTATGTATCCCCATGAAATCTGACAGAAAAACTGCCGAATACGCAACGAGAATATTTTTGCGTTACATTCCTTTTCCCCGTGCAAATTTGAAAGATAAAATCAGTCTTTCTGCAAATACATATCCATATGGAGAAGCAGCTTCCCGTCTGAAATTCACTACGTAGGGCTGCAAAAACCTCTTTTAAAAAAAACTCGACACATCCTCCGACACAAGAAACTTGACAGTGGAAGCATCAACGTTTCTAATGAAAGCATCGCCTTTTCCAGTTACATATGAGTTCGTTGATCGGCCATACTATGGAATTTACTCTTCGCATATTAGAATGGCCACACACAGGAGCCGAAAGAAGAGGAGTGATGCGGAGTACAGTAATTCCCACTACAGTATTGAGTCCACTGTCTGTCTATAGTAGACAGCCAAATGAATGCAGTCAGAAGCGACCTGTTTTATGAAAAACTGACTCACCCTTTTCACCAGAGAATGAATACTGGGAGCTTGTCAGGAGTAGGTGAAACTCCACCTTTTAGCTCATAGAAATATAGCAAGGCTCGTGTAATACCATCCATACGAGAGCAAAAAGGATGGTAAGAGTCTATACAGGGATGCAACCAAGGGCTGGAGATGAGGCTAGGGTAGATAATACAATAGAATACTGCACATGAGGAAATGCCTCATTACTTTGACAATGAAGAGAGTGGAGTTCTTACCGAAGAACATTCACAAGCTAGCTTAAAATTTCATGATATTGTAAATTGAATGGATTGAAGCTCCCCAACTTAAAGAGACTTTATGTTCGGTCTTTATTAATTGAAAAAGCTCCCCATGATAAGTACTGTATTGAATTGAACTTTCCACTTCCATCATCACATTGTTTTAGTTTATTCACAGGTTCACCTTGAACTTGTGAGTAGACATCTGTGGTCATTGGAACAATCCAAGAAACCCATCTAGATTGAATCTTATGACCGGTGAATTGTGAGTGTTCATTACACATTATCATTTTCATTCATCTTTAGACAGATTAGTGATGTCGTGTGTAGTTGGAAAGCTACATTTCTTTCTTATAGTTCAAAGTCTTCTCTCTCGAACTAGCATGGCTTTTCATAGCACGGAGCAATTGTTCTAAGGTAAGGATAAATGTGAGAGTAATTATACAAGCAATGGATTATAACATAGCTCCTCTTTCTATCACTTTGGATTTGCAAGGTTGTGTGTTTTCCTTCTTAGCGGAAGATATCCATATGAAGGTAAATGTAGATACTATTAAGTGGCACTTTGACAATCGATTTCTATTTTGTATGCGTTAAGGTCCAGGTGTTAAAGTGTATGACGTCATCTTTTTGAGTATTCATCTTGAAATATAGTATGTATAAGTACTTATGACATCACATAGTGATTTACGCATTCTTGAGGTGTCATGAGTTACCAACTAATACATCACATTTTATCTACACGCATCAGTTGTCAAGTACATTCCACCTGTAGATTATTTTCTTTACCATGTAATGTCTATGTGATGTTTGATAAACTTGAACTAGTTTGCATAACATCTACTTTATCTACATTCCTGTCAATTTTGATCTCTTTATTGCCTAACTTTGATTACATTATTGGATCTTTGAGCTTATGACAAAGAGTTTTTATTGAAACATACATTTATCCTTTCTTTTAGAAGAAGTAGGCTCATAATGTAGTGAGTATATCGCACAGGAAGTGATCTTGACTAGTTGAGCACTTTTAACATCTTTCATCGTCTATAAATTTGTATACAATACTCTATATCATAACCACTTATAGATGTTTGATTTACAAATGTTCATGTCTATTTGTATGGATTAGTTTTCAGAAGGTTGATGTAACTATACTTGACTTTTAATTAATATCCATCAGAGACGTTGCTGCTATGGCCTTTTCGACCGTCATTGATACAGTGTTTACTGTGGAACTAGTTCTCCCGTGAACGTAAATTTTTATCTTTCATTCGTTTCTACGTGATAAGGAAATATGAGTTGGACTTAGTTTTTCCATTGAAGTTCTACTTTTTTGAAAAAAATTTGTCTCATATTTACTTCATGCTCATTATTCTCTGGGTGATGAATTACCCAGGACAAATTTGGCAGTCCTTGATGAATCTTGTCAATTGAACATGTTTCACGTAATCGCGTCAGTATTGCAAATCAATGATTTTGTGAAAATCCACACATGATTCTCATCAGTTGAATTGAAAGAAGTATGATACTTCTCTTGAATACTCTTCTCTAGATTACACCCAGAACAAAATCAGAATGGACGCAAAAATTGCATACATTGCATCTCATTCTGAATCTAAAGTTACATATAGCTTTAAGAAATCTGGAACTAACCAATTGAAACAAAATGGATATTCTTCTGTGCACAACTCCGTCACAAGCAGTCTGCGTCAACATTGATCTTTGACGAGCATCACATTCACATGACGAGGAACACAAGATATAATTGAATACATGGACCAATCGGAATCCACCTTGACGGTGTCTTTTGCACCCTTCTTCCTTTTTCCCTGTTGCCCTATCAGCGGCTTTAACTGATCGCTGAGATAGGTCGACTTTCGAGCTTTTTCTCCCTATTCCCGGCGTGTGTTGTATCGGTACTCGATGCTGATGTCTGTAGATCTCTTGATAAGCAACACACGTAACCTTTGAGCAGATTAAAAATGATTTCTTTGCCTCCGCTCGATACGGATACGATTCCCATCAGAAGGATGCTTTCTACGATTAGATTTTTAAGGAAACAATTTGACCGGTACCTTTCAAGAAACCATCGACGTAGTTCTCGTGTGTTCGAAAAGGCAGACCGGAATATGGAAAGTGAAACAACATAAAGGGATGTGAAAACTTAATCTGAAGATAAAAGCCATAAATCAGTTGTGTGGATGAAGAATGAAAGGACAGTCTCTGTACAAGGACGAAGGTTCTCATCAAGGAGCGAGGGTTTCACCACACATTGGTCAAATGTATAGGAAATGTGAAAAGGTAACTCAGATACGACCGAAGGGGAATCCGAACATACAATGACTCACGGCCCTTGTGGGACAAAGTATGATTGTGGCATTGAAGCCGGAACAGTTGCACCCGGGCGGGACAGCTGGTGTCGACTTTAAGCGCCATCAGAGCTTCAGAAGCCCCCGCCGAAAGAAATATATCCACTGCGCACATTCATGGATAGTTGGCATGATTGCACCATGTCTGCTCCACACCTACCGCAGTGGGGAAAATCTGCCGAACATGTAACATTCTAGACCTGCAGCGGGCGAGCGGGCGGGGGCGCTTTTCCTTGCGGAGTTGAAAGTGGCCGATGTCTGGCGTCGGCGTGGCCGTCCGGACCTCCGTAAGTTGGTCTTCTTTTCGGACAATGTAGGCCTGGGCGAATGCAATCGGGATGGGGGATGGGGGATGGGGTGGGGTAAAGACAACACGCAAAAGTAAAAGGGGAGGGGACGATATCGTTAGACACGGCTGTACCGCTGCGATTGGTACGTACCGTGTTGTGTCGCGAGAGCGAGTCGGCCCTGCAGCGAGCGACGGTGGGTGGTCGACAGGGCGGGCCGTCGGGAGCGTTGAAAAAGGCAGGCGAGTCCGGGGCCCGGACGGGGCAGCAGCGAATCCGCGAATCAGCGATGGTGGCAAGAGCACAATCTTCGCGGGCGCGGTGAGGTGTCGTCGATGGGTAGATTGCGTCCGGAGCCCAGACACAAGACTCGAGTCGGCCGCGAGTGAGTCGAGGGTGGGAGGACAGGACGTCCGGAGACCGGACTCCGGGAGCAGCAGCAGCAGCAGCGGACGGGGAGAGGAGTGCAGCAGCAGGGCGGAGGGCAGGAGGGCCGGAGGGTTGGAGATACATTGGACGGCGGCTGGCTGCAGCAGGAGACGCGGACGCGGACGCACGCACGCGGGGCCGAGACCAGGAGAGAGGGGAGGAGGCGAGGAGGAGAGACGGGCGAAAAGATGGGGCAAATGTTCAAGGAGTATTTGACAGGACCACGGATTTATTGCTGCAGGAATTGTCGGGCTCATTCCGCAGACCACGAGCAGATCTACTCCAAGACCTTCAAGGGCCGCTATGGCCGTGCTTATTTGTTCAATCATGTGGTGAATGTGTGTTTGGGCCCGAGGGAAGATCGGCTGCTAAACACGGGCTTGCACACGGTGGCGGACATCTACTGCAACAACTGCCATCAAGTTCTAGGTTGGAAATACGAGCAAGCGATGGAAAAGAAGGAGAAGTACAAGGAAGGCAAGTACATAATTGAGAAAACCAAAATGACCAAAGAAAGTTGGTAGTCCATGACCGCTGATACCAAGATAGGTTGTAGAAAGAATCAATACAGCAGGGCTGTTATGTACAAATATTTCAGGCTTTTCATTAGCCAGGCCCTGTTGTCGACCAAAATTTGGTTCTGACAAGATTCTGACGGGTCACAAGTTTGTCAAGAGATGACGTTGAGTCAAGTCATACTGGGGTTCAATTGCCCCTTTCAAAACAGATCAGTATCCTGGAGCAATGTGTGTCAAGGCTGGACGGTGTACGTGCCTCAGATTTCTTAGATTCGAGACCTCTGTTTGTGGTCTGATAATCAGGTGTAGTTCAACAATTGTCGCTGTTTGTATTCCTTGGAGGATAAATGTAAGGAGGCCAGTATAGGTTGAAATAACAGTTTGCTTCTCGCAGAGCTGATGAGCCCGTACTAATCAAACGACTCTGGACTGGGGACGAGTCAGGATGTGATGATTTTGAAAGAATTGCATTCGTTCGGTGGTTAGTACGGACCGGGGTTCTTCGAAGAAACTGAAGGTCACTTACCACTTCATGTACTCCAGTCTTATCTTCGTTTCTGTTTATGTGCTCTATGCCTCCTAAATGACCTTTTCATGTGGACGTATATAGCACGTAGGTATACTATCTTGTACAGGTAGTAGGTTTCCACGGGCTCTCAGATCAAGTCTTCAGATGTTATTGTCTTGCGCTGTCGCGCATTTTCTCCTGCCAATGTAAAATGAGGTTCTTACTTCGGATAAACCCTCTCTCTCGACTTTCTTTGGGAAACCAAATGACAACTGGATTGCAAATCCTTTCTCGTCATTAGAGTTGGTCCTTTGATCTTGCAGAAGGAAAGAAGTCTTTCTATACTTGTTAACTCGTCTCAGCCCTTGCCGATGGTAACAATACTCCAAGTTAATTTTATATCGGCAGCGTGCATTCGATCTCTTAAGAGGCAATACCGTTTCAGATGATCGAAGAGTTCTGGGAATGTGATATTTGTGCGACGTAGAAAACCTTGTCACCAATATTCGCCCACAAGTGGGCGAATATTGGTCTTTTATCTTGAGGATTCTATCTGCGTGATCAATCGGTTATCGATGTGCGTGGGATCCAGAACGGATTTTTCAACAGTCACGAAGCCCGTGGAGGGAATTTGTTAGCGGAATGAGACTTCGTACATCTCGGGTGTGGAAGACTGAACCATGTGAGACAAGTACTTCGTGCTTTGTTCTTTGATGTGTCTGCAAACAATGATATTGATTTGCTGTGTATGTTCATCCGACGTTGAGTAGGCAACAAGTTGCACTAGAGAGCCGAAAGTTCCCCTGATTTCCTACATATGTATGCTAGAGGAATGTTGACGGCATGGAATTCGTTTCTGCCCGAAGATGTTCTGTCGACCTAAAATCGTAGGTGAAATGCTTACTGTGATCTGAGTGATGAGGCTTTGTGTTCGTTGTGTACCTCTTTCGTGTCTAAATTTTTTTCTGTTTGAATCTGCAATACAACATCAAACCCATATTGGTTCATGTGCTACGCACCATTGACTTCAACTGCAGGTTTGAAAATTCTTTTAGGTCTGCATGATCTTCTACCAAGTTCTACACCATGGCTCAGATAGGAGGTCCATTGTCCACAACCCTACAGTTTGATATAAATGAGAAAAGGATCTCCATTCTCTCCGTCGTCGAGCGGAGGTGTGACTATCTGCTAACGTTAAGGTGTGCTGTTCCATTCGTTAAGAAAGTGTCTGTTTGGAAGCTTTCAAAGTTCTCAGTAGATCTGTGACCTTTATACTACGACACCCTTCTGATAGCAGCCTTAGAAAGTTAATGGTGAGGGAGTTGTTGTCTCTGAAGAGTAAAGGACATACAGGCGGCAAACCAATCCTTGAAACGTATCTCGGTGACCTAGTTGGAGCCGTTGGGGTGTGGTAAGAGAACTTTCTAGTTTCTTAGTTCAGGATTTGTAGAATTGTCACCTGAAAACCCAAGACTTGGTGAAGCAGTCTGTCTGTTCACTGGTTTGAGTTGCTATCGGAGGTGAAAGATGCGAAACATAGGAACTCCACGATTAGTATCTTAAGGAGTGGAGGGCCACTTGACAACCCCGTGAGTCGCTGTCTTGCACTAAAACCTGAATGTCGCTTGACTGCCCCTCGCATGGTTAGGAAGTCATGCACATCTTTGTCTGATCTGAGCTAATACCCCGTTGATGCAGTTTCATATTACAAGTTTAAACCAAAGCTTCAGGAAGATCCAAGGTGCTGCTTATATTCAGATTATCCAGGAATGGTATTTGTTGTCTTTTAGGAAAGTCTGCGAAGGTCGTTTGAGAAAACATGGAAATCAGTCCACTGCACCTTCGGCGTTAAACTTTCACGGGACTTAGCTGCTCTAGAAAGTAATTGTTGCAGGAACTAATCACGCTCCCTCGTCAAAGTAAGACAGATCTGCACATAGCAGGTCTTCTGCGCTTTTGTAAGAGCATTGCATAAATTATCGAAAGCATTGCCCTTCTCGTGCGCCTCTCAAGGCCTGTTTTGGTTCTGCAGTCAATAGCCGAGGATGCGAATATAATCAGCCCTGACGTAAGAACTGTTCTGCAAAGCTATCAACTGAAAGGCGGAAATTACATCAAATACACCATCATGTCATCCACGGGCCCAGAGTCCGTGGCCGAACTTGCAGATAACACACGCCAGGAACAGGACTCTGTTCGTGCAAGTATGTCTCAAGGGGAGATGAAGCCCGAAGGTCAAGACGTCCAGGCGTGGAATCCGATGAAGTCAAGAGGGGAACAGTGATAAGGAAACAGAAGAAAGCAAAAGACAAGGTCAGATGTAGTGACCAATGGAGAAGCAACGGGTGCTTTCTCTAGAAATGACGGGGAGAAAGAGAGAGGAGAGAGCAAGTTATAGTGAAACGATAAATTTACTTCGTATAATGCAGGACACAAGACATTCCTTGACTCTTTTCGGACTGTAAACAGATGTTTGATGGAAAGAGGCCCCAGCATTTAGCAATTCTTGTTATCTCTAGTGGGTCGCAGAAAACTGTTCTAAACTGTTACCTCTACATTACATTTGTAGATTTGAGTTGAAAGCAAAGTGAGCTTTGCATGAGAAGGCAGCGTGATATAGAAGCAAAGGCGGAAAGTTTCTGAAGTGCAATTTATAAGACAAAACGTATAATATCTTTAAAGTTCATAATTATGGAGGGGCTAATCCAACTATTTTTCCAGAATTTGCTCATGCACGTATTGATTGTTCGTAATAAGAGAGATGTTCGATACAATTCATTCTTTGGTTATGTGGGAGGAGAGTGACCCGCTATGATCGTTCCTTGGAACCTATATTTGCTTTTCCTATATCCAAGCAGATATAGTCCCTTGGAACCAATAGTAGATTCACTGAATTGATTGTGTGGCATATGAAAATAGGTGTATGTAATTTAATACAAGTATGAACAGAAGTGTATATGTATATGTCTATATACTATAAATGTATATAGTATCATGACTACAGAGTTTATAATCTAATGATAGAAATTTAAAAATATCTTTATCTTGTATGAATTCAAAACAAAAAAAATACTATATATGCTTCCTAGTTGAAATAATAGATTGACTAAAAATTGATAATAAATCCCATAATTTTCATCATATAAGTATGAAAAGCTCAGAAATGCATTCAAGTCTAAACAAAGAAATTTGAGTTTTCATGGGCAGAAATTGAAATTGAATTGATTCAAAGAGCCTTTTTTTTAATTGATCAAAATGTGATGTTATATAAGTAGTGACATATGTACAATCATCTGATTGAAAAAAACTAATTTATATTTTTTGATTCTAGATAAAAAAAAATTATGATTTTGAATGGATGAAATTCTAATAAAGATAAAATAAAATTTATATAGCTAAATTTTGCGATGTCAACATCTAATAAATTAGTTTTCTACACATTCTAGGTATGAAAAAATATAGAAATTTTTCAATGAATAAATTTTATTAAATTAATTTTTGGATGCATGTATTACATTTGAAATAAATTATGTTTCAATATATTGACCATTAATACAATGAAAAAAAATTAGTACGTTTAATTTTTCCCACATTTATTCTCAGAAAAATTAAGTATCTGATAACATTTTCATTGTTTATCTTACAATTTTTTAAGCATACATTTTATGATGTTAAATCACATAATTTTAGAAATAAGGAATTGTATAATTGTAAGTATTATGACATTAAACCTGCTCATTTTCCTACTTTTGTAGATTTACTCTCTCTAAGTGCTAGTTTATCGCCCTAAACTGTTCAACGCTACCATTCCATGGCTCAACAAGTCATTGTAGAGGCGGATAGATTAAACCAATCCACAAAAGTTTTGCAAGTTTTTTTAAAATATCTTTAGATTACTTGTAAATGAATTTCGTTTCTGTATTTGATCACTAAAAAATGAAATAGTCTACCATACAACTAAGTTATAAATCTAGATAATTAACAAAATAATGTTTCCAAATAAATTTGAGCATCTTCAAAAGAAGGATTTTTCAAGATTTTTTGGGTGAAAATTTAAGATAATATATTATAGAATTATAATAATCTTAATAATTAAACATTAATTTTCAAAATTAAAAATTTTTTAAATAAAAATATATTGTTAATATATTGTTGTTATATATATATATATATATATAACACAAAATAAAATCTGAAATATAAATAAATTATATGAAAAAATTATTTATTTTTGTAAATAGTATTGATATATCATTTCATCATACAAGATTGTAGGTAAAACAATTCGGTTGTTTACATGATAAATAAATTCTAATTAAAAATAAGACTTTATTCATCAATCTTGATAATTATTTCTTTTACTTGATATACTTTAGAACTATATTTTTTTTGGGAATTCAGTTGTATATATATTGAGTGTTTACATTGTATTTGCTTGAATTATATAAAATTTTCAGCTAATTCTAAGAATTGCAAATGAAAATTATGATATCAAAAATAAAATATCATACAAATATTCTAATTTTTAATGTTTAAATAAATATGAAATGCCTTGTTTTGACATCTTAAATTTCCTAGATGTTTGATAGGTATTCAATAGTACTTCAAATCTTTCCAAACAAATCATGCTTTCTAAGTCAAATTGGTATATCGCAACAACTAATAATTTCTACAATCATGTGAAATGAATCAACAATTCTCAAGTGATGAAATATGATAAAAATATATTTCTGTGATTTTAAAATGCTGTTATCTTGATTTCAAATGATTAGCAACATCGACAACAGTAAACAAAACAATCATTCTTTGAAACAATTGTTACAAGGAAGATGTTTACTTTGACAACACTGTTGTATACAATTAATTTGTACTTCTATGTTTGGTGAAGTTTTTAAACCTCTAGGTATAGAAAAGCTAAAATAAGTAATCAGGTTAAAGAAATTGTTTTCTCCTCAATGCTTGATGAATTGATCGTAGACGAACAAAGAAGAGAAGCGGATGACAAGCGATTTAAGAATTACCCGAAAGTCTTGAAAATCTACAAGATGTATTTAAAACTTGGTAATTCATCTTGAAACGGGGATTTAGGAAAAGTTTTCTATGAGATAGTTTACAGATCTGCAATGATTTGCAAACCCCTAAAATGGCACATATGCATCAAAACGGGCGCATTATGAGTTCACATTGTCGAGGTATGCAACACGGGAGCGTTGCCATAATTTAGCTAAATTTTTTGGACAACACACAATTTTCGAATAATGGGACTTAAGCGATAGGCATGTGATGTACACAGTTGGTGTGCGTAAAATAGTGTACGAGGAGCGGTAACCCCCACATGCGACGGGGGATCAGGCTTTGAGAAATATAAAATAAGGGAGCCAGCCTCGACTTTCCACCCAATCATTCAACGGATGATGGAGCAGCTGCCGGTCAGGGCTCGCTCATCATAGTGCTGAGTCCGCACGTACGAAGAAAGGGCTTTGATCGGGCCGCGAAGCCACTACAGAGTATTAACTCGGCTTGCAAGCTCGGCACTTCACCGCCATCGCCATCAACACCACTGATGCCAAGAACCGGAACAAACTACTGTTACTTACGAGTTTGTGCGCGGAGGGCAAAAGGCGGAAAAACACGGAAAGTCCACAACTGACTGGGACGGGGCTGGACGGGCCAGCTGGGAGGGGACGGGACGCAAGGCGGGCAGGACTGGGCGCTCGGCGGAGGAATAATGAAATCCCTATTGAATGAATGTTGGAGAGTCGGGAGGAAGATGAAACAAGAACAACAACTACGACGACGCCAGAATCTCGGTGGGAGCGCATGGCATCCTACTCATGGCATCCCATCGCATCGCATCGCATCGCATCCGGGCCTCATCTATCCAACATGTATCCGGGAAATCTATGGTGCCGCGGCCCGCTGCAGCAACGCATAGATAATGCGTCGTAGTCGTATTTTCACTGTCACCTCGCTTCGCCGTCCTGTCACATCACCGTCCCATTACCGCCGGACTGGACTGCACAGAACTGCACTTTCCCGCGGTTAGGGCATGACGGATTCTAGTCTTATGCCGGCTTTCTTTTTCTAGGCTGGCCAAGCAAAAGTCGGGCGACACCTTCTTTCTTGGCTTGGCTTGGCTTTGCTCTGCTCGGCTCTGCTTGCCTTTCGAAGCGAGCGAGCTAGCGAGCGAGCAGGAAGAAAGGAAGGAAAGGAAGGGAAGGCAGGCAGGCAAGCGAGCGAGCAAGCAGGCAGGCCTGACTGCCTGCCTTGCCTGCCTTCCTGCCTCCTGCTTGACTCTGGGGATGGCTCGCTCATGACTATTCCTGCCCTCCTTCCTTCCTTCACTCATGCTCTCTGACTGGTGGTGTGATGGCTCGCCTGACCTACCGAACTGACTCGCCTCCTCCTCCTCCTCCTCTTCCTCCCTCCATGACGACAAAGAACATTTGTTACCTGGTAGAGGAAAGCAAGGGAAGCAACCGACCCGTCAGACGGGGTGAGACACAGGGCGAGAGAGAGAGAGAGAGAGAGAGGAGGAACGAGGGAGGGAGGGAGGGGGAAAGGAGAGTTCTCTGTACTGCTAGTAGCAGCACCACCCATCCCGCGGGATTTCCTTGGTGGGTTTGTTAGTTTCCTTTTCCGAGTCTTTTCTGCTTCCACACTCGGCCGCTGCCGAGTGTGGAAGCCCTTTTCGGCTTGGGACTGGCGTTGAACCTACTAGATATCTGCGCTGGCTGGACTGCCTTCCTGCCTTGCCTGCCTGCCTGCGTTCTGCCTGCCTGCTGCGCGGCCATACTGTGGCGCGATTGGGGCATATTTTCTTCCCCTCCTTACCCTTCCCCTCCCATCCCCGCTTTGCTTTAGGATGGCAAGCCCCGCCTTCTCCACAAGGATCGGCGAGGATCCACGTTCTTTTAATTGTCGGGATCGATCCATGCCAACCAGGGCTTTGCCAACAATGGCCGTGGGTCGACGTGGATGCGACCGCCGGCCGCCCGCGCCGCTGTCACTGGTCTTTCGTGAATTAGTAGCATCAATAGCTACGGTATTAGCGTAGCGAGCAGGGAAGGTGGAAGGTGGGAGTTTACACATTACACCCGAGATGATTTCATTATTATCATGGCGTGCAGATTAGGAAATGAAACTAGTGACATGACAGAACTGACCACAGCCCCCCCCCCCCGACCCCCAGCCCTCCCCCCCCTTCTGCCCTCCCCCTCCCTCCCCCCCACCCCCCCTGCTTACCATCCTTCGTTGGTTCGGCAGGGCAGAAGGCATCGCGCCTCTGTCTGTGTCATCCCCCCTGCCTGCCTCCCGCCCTAGTAGGTCCATGGCAAGGCCGGGCGACGTAGAACAAGATGACATGTGATGGATCGAAACGCAAGTGACATATTGCTGCTGCGCCTTAACTTTAGCCATAGCCAGGGTCGGGGAGTGGGCAGAATCAGGCACGGGCCAGGACGGGAGTGGGAGAAGGGCAGGCGAGGCGAGGGATGAGGAGCAGGGAAAGGGGGTGAAGACGAGCGGAGGAATGGCGACACATTAGCTCCTTCTTTGCTTTCTTTACTTTTATCACTCGGTTCCTGTCGTTCGTCATTGTTCACGTTCTTGACAGGCGACGCAGACGCTGCCCACCCCCACCCCACCCCCGCTGGCTTTTAGTGTAGCTTGTTCGACCACCACCCGCACTCTCTCTGGTTAGTTTTTCACGCTAGTCGTCTAGACCTCAAGTTGTGGTAGGCATTGCGCGTTCGGGTGTTGTTGCGTTGCGTGCTCGCTTGCTCGGCTCGCTCGCTCGCTCTTTCCTCGTGGTGTATCGTATCGGTTGGACGTGGAGAAGGAGAGGATGCCGAAGCGCAGGCTCTCGACGCCATAGAGCGTAGGCTCTTGCTTCCGGTCGCCGCACTCTGCCAGCGACCTCAGCGGAACATCGTTTTCTTGGTGCAGTAGAAAGCATTAGGAAGGAATAGGTCTGGAGTGGTCGCGAAGCACTCACCCATCTCGAAGTTGTTCTTGGTTCTCATTCCTGTGAAGATCGATCGCCAAGGAAAGCTATCACGGTTGGGCGTCGGTGACCCGAAGGTACTTCTTGTGACCGAGTCGAGGAAGTGGGGTGACTTTTTCACGACATTAGCCGGTTTCATCTTTGTAGGACGGACTGGTGTGGGGAAAACGTGTAGGTTTCATTTTTGTAGTTTGTAGAACTTAGGACCTCGAGGCTCCTCTTTCAAGGGCTTTTGTTCAATACCTGCAATCGTATCGACTTCGATCTGCGAGTGCATAAGTCCGTCTTCAAGACTTCCGGAGTGCTTTCACTGGCTTGGTGGAGTGGGGTTTGTGGTCCAAGAGAGGACCGTGAACGTTCCTGCGGTCGTTGGGGACGATACGCGCCTCGATCGTTGAGTGTTAGCTAGTTTGAGAGGAAGGTGCTGGTTGGGCACAGTCCAAAACCACCTTACCTCGTTGTGGTTTCGGAGCGATCTATGGCGTATGTGCTCGTGGCGGCTTCTGTCCACATCGGGTACATTTGCCTTCAGTTTTTGTGAAGAGACGGAGAACATAGGTAGTGCACGAGCGTTATGGAAGTTCTCAGTGCTCGCATGACCCCAGCATTCAAAGGTGAGGAAAACGCTTACTACAAGAGGATGTACGAGAGTAACAACAACAATACCAACAACAGCAGCAGCAAGCACGCTCGGAAAGGAGAAATGAAAGTTGAGCACCGTTCCGAAAGGGCTGTAAATTACGAGGCAGGTCCAATGAGAGAAAGCGGAGTACACAGGAAAGTCTACTCAGCTGGAGGGTCTCAAGGATGGGATGGAGGTAGCAGGAAGCCTGTCGCTGCGAGATCGATGGGCCGACCTGGTCACCTCGACGGTGGAAACATGTCTACTGGTAATCAACGGAGGATTGAAAAGGTGCAAGAGTCCTCGGATGAACTCGAAACAAGTCAGGATAATGCCCACGATGATTCAGATATGTCTGGCGATGAAGAACCAGCCCCTGCACAGGCAGCTGAAGCGCCTCAAAAATGGCCTATTATCCAGATTGTTGATCCTCCGGCTTGGCTACCTGAAGGCTGGACAGCAGTTCTTCGCACGCGAGAAAGCGGCTCCAAGGATAAGGTATGGCTCTCACCACCGATTTGCCACCGCGTTCTCAACAAAGAGTCTTTAGTGGAAGTCACCGACGCGAGATTGGTTACTAGGCCTTTATTCCGGTTGCTGCCGCGTATCGTTCTCAATTTCGACGCACTGTTCGAAACTGGCTTGATGGGAGCCGCTATCTCGCGTTGAGTATCATTTTAACCTGTGTGATGTGTCGATGCAGTATTACGTCGATCCTGTATCGCAACGCCGCTTTCGCTCCAAGACGGAGGTCAATTACTACCTGCAGACTGGGAAGAGTTACAGATACAAGCGCAATTTGGCGTTGTTGACCAAACCTTTGAAGGAGGATCCCGTCTCTCTACCAAACACTGTGCCGATGAGAACTGTGAACTTGGATGTGTCGAGCTCTCGCGATAATCCACAGACCCTTCCCTTCATGAGTCCTTCTTCATATGGCGACCATCGAAGCATGGTAGCACCTCAGTCAAGGCCTGGTCAAGGACCTGATGTGAGGCTCAGCATGGGTCTCTCTGGCGCGGAACCCATCAAGGTTGCGCCCGTTCGTAATAAGCCAGGTCCTAAACCTAGAGTGAGAGATGAAGAGACTGGGAGACCTTACCTTTCGACAGTGTCTAAGAGGAACATTGTTGAAGAAAGGAAAGTAGCTGGCGGCTCTCAAGGTGTGGAAAACAGGGGCAAGCTTATCTTGAAATTGAAGCGTAAAACTTCAGAACTAGGTGAGTTGTCTATTCTTTACTTGACGATGTGGGTAGCGCTAAGTTGTTTCTCTCTAGGCTCTTATTTCCGTGCGTCAATCAGTCTGGTATTGTTTGTTTAGGCAAGTTCTTTGGAAGGTATTTCTCATCTTTTCCGACAAAGTATGATTGTCTTTTCTCTGAACTCTAGTGTAGCTACTTTCCTTTCAGCAGATATTTCCCGATTATAAGACGTTCTTTCTTTGCTTTGCAGACGAAGGCCAAAAGAATGGAAAGAAGCCCCGGCCGTTTGAAGTTGTTGGAGCAACTCCTACTCAAAGATCGAGGAGCAGTACGAGTAGTGAAGAAGACAGGCATCAAAAGCCATGGCCTTTGGATCACGCCGCGGAGTCTTCTAGGGTACATTTGACGCCCATTCATGCCGCGAGGAAATTAGGCAAAAGTGGTCCTGTCTGGCATTACCCACCTGTGAACCAACATACTATGGGTGCTGGAAATGGGCACATGAGCAACCCTAACGGCCAAAGTCACCTACTGGAGAGAACATCCGGTTCAGCGACTTTGTCGATCACAGATTCTGAAAATGCCAAGTTTGCACACAAGAGAGAGTCTCCTGCCGAGCAGCTTCAGAGACTAGGGAAGAAGTTGTGTCAGCAAGCAGTTATAGTTCTTAGAAGCGAGTATTCTGGAGTGAATACACTGCAACAGATCAACCACGGACTGGGTGCTGCTATGAACCAAGGGTATTATTCGGGACACAACTCGAATTTTAATCCTAGTTTCAATGCCTTCAATCCCAATTTTAATGCCGGGTTCATCTCTCCTCCTCCCCCTCCAGCACATTACCATCAGCAACAACCAATTAAGCGAATGCGAGGTAGCTTACCGAAGGAAAAGAGCATTTTACCCATGCAGAAGTACGGATTGGATCATCATTATCTGCAGCTTCCTCAGTCTGTTTAAATTTACCAAAAGGAAGTGACAGTTTCACAGGAAGAGGCGGATTAGGTCACTCGGAGTGAGTGGAGTACGAGAACATAGACACCAGGCACCATGTACAGCAATTCCACCAACTGGTCTCCAATTGTGAGTACTGTTGTATACTAGTATCATTCAGTAGGGCTTTAATCTCTTGCTTGTAGAGGATGTAATTTTTGGAAACCCTTTGCTCCGTGGCCTTCAAGGTTGGCTCTCGGAGCTCTGCTACCATTTCGGAGCTCAATGACTTCATTTGACCGATTGATAGTTTTCATGCTATAAAGCAATAGGCGTATTGTCTTTGGTACCCATACATTTTTGCAAGCTCTGTCAATTGGCTCTCCTCTTTGAGCCAGCTTGCGATTTGTCAAATTTCAGGAAGCGGTTGGTTTTGCATGTGGATGTTCTCATCGGACCGTTTTGGGATCATATAGTCAAGAACTTGAAATCCATTCCTGCTTTTTCAAGCGTTGAAACTTGTATTGGAATCTGGCTTAAGGTAGTGTCAGGATTCTCCGGTCCTTGAGAGTTTGTTATGGGTGATTGAGCCTAGGTCGTTGCTTTTAGTTTCTTCGGAATATTCAGAAGGTTTGTTGTATGGAGTTCTGGTTTGCTGTGGAATCGCTGACCAGTTTTTTTTCTCTTACATGTAAGTTCTATGTGACGTGGAGTTAGGGGAGTTAGTAGAGATGTCTACAGGATGAAAGAGTATTGACGAATATTAGAGTAAACGTGGTATCTTGGTGTAAGTTTAGCTAAACCTCGAGACTTGAATGAAGAACACGACACAAATGTTCAAATTGATTGGTGTGTGAATTGTTCAGGAGATTTTCTTCTGCTATTTACTTCTACCATGTTCAACTAGCTTACTGCCCAAAGTTGTAAGTGTATTTCTGTTCTTTAACAGCAGCAATACGCAGCAGCTGAGATGTGGGATTCGTTTTTGGAGGTTCCCCCGTGATGTAACCTTTGACGAGGTGGAGCTTACACGTAGATGGCTTTAACTATCTGTATATACCAAGCTGGTTTCATAGATCGTCTTACGAAAGATGACATTTTTTTAAATTGTATAGTAGGATACCCATCTGCATTTCAAGCTCAGATGGGTATCCTACTTATCCTATTCATTTCAATAATTCCTTCAATATTTCGACAGATCATGTGGTTGCTTCAAATTCTTTTCATGTTTTCAACTCATCACACAATTGCTGTGTTGCAAATCATTTCATCTTTCTGTTGTATACAACCATAGCTTTCAAGTGGAGGTGAACTTCCATCAGACACTGCAATCAGCTTAGGGTTTAGAATATAACGTGGGCAACCAAGAGTCTATTTCTTCAATAGAAAGTTCTTGTTGTGGTCAGGAATTTGGCATCCAAGGAAGGAGTTGTGTTTTTCATTGTGTAAAATGGGTGTTCCTTTGCGAAAACATGGCGTCTTTCTCAGTTGAGTCTGTCGCGCGGAGTCTCAAACGATGTCATTGCAAAAATTAATAGTCACTTTGAATATACATTACCAAGACAACGTAGACATACACAAGGAATCGGAGCAAGATCAATTTTTGTCGCGACGTCAATGAACTGAACTCAATAGTCGATGTGCTCAATCACTGCCGTGAAGCTCAGTTGACACCGTCGTGAGCATTCTTGTGTGGAAACCCCTTTGCTGCCAGGGTCCAGGCCGATCTCATTAAGAAATAAATCCAAAATTTGAGCTCTTCATACCACCGATGTCAATTATTTGCGGCACAATTATTCTAGGTTCCCTAAAATCACGACGGAATCACGTCAAATAGTCTATGCCTAACATTTCTCTCGATTTTCTTACCAATTGAGATCAATGAAGCCAACTCTGATCAAATTCGATGCGGACTTTGTACAGTGACAGAAGTGACAATAGAGTATAATAGCTTTTGAAAGTATAAAGTCAGCAAACATGCATTAAAACGCAAAGAAACAACTCGTAAAGCTCCATGAGAAGACTTTTGCTATCATTAGTCTCTTGTGGCCACGTGTGATGTATACAGACTATCAGCTTGCTTTATGTCAAGTGACTGTAGATCATATATAACTTATATATGATCTACAGTCATTACAATATTTATACTTATATAATATAGGTATAATATATACATTAATTATGCTATATAAATTGTGCCTTATGTATAAAAATATAATCTTACTCATTAGGAATGAATATAAACCCGTGAGAGATAATTAGAGTGAAATTTGTTGTAGTATCGCATGTACCGCACAATCCGATTTATCATCTTACATTTCTCTAGAGATAAAGTCATAGCTTGCCGGACAGTCATGAGATAACGCCGGTGTACGTCATCTTTCCACTCCAACTAGCATACTAGGTTTCTAATATGATACTAATAAACTACTAGAGTGACATGGTCGGCTAGATTAGGCTTCCCCGACTTTTTCTATCAACTTGGTCGGACTAAAGGGGTTCTTCGGAGCTTTTTTGCTATTGTATGCCTTCGAATGATATGACCAAAGTTGTCACCATTTAACGGAAAATCACAAGCAGTAAAACATGATCGGAAACACAATAAATGGAGACATCAATGTAACATGGTTCATCACATAGAGATAAGTACCATAGTAAAAGTCATGCATGATACTGTAATGGATGTCTTGTGTCATATACAAATCCTGGGGCTAAATATCCAGTACTGAAGACACTCCTAACTATTTTTAACAAAAACCTAAGGATACTACTCAAACGGAGTTAACCTCATCAATCTTACACTTCAATCGTGTTAAAGAAACAATAACCTCTATAACCTATATTAATTCTCCACAAGAAGCTCTAGACAAAAGCTGACACAAGGTATTTCTTTCTAGAAGAATTAACTAAAACTAAACCGTAACCATAACATGATAGAATATTAACATGTATTAAAAAAGTGCCAAAAACCTGCTAGCATAGAGAGAATAAAAACCTCATAACTTATATTATTACTCCGCTAAAAATTCTAGAAAGAAACATAATACAAGGTCACTCTTTACACAAGAGTTAAGTTCTAGCTATCACATGATAGAAAAATTATATAACTGAACATACTATACTAGCAAACTCTACCTTTTCATCATGCACAACCTACATAGCAGCACAATGTTATCTGAAACTCTCCAAAAGAATAACCTTGATCTCTTGATTATTAATCACATAATGATCAAACTACTCCACAACCATATCCATGAATATAAATTTTCCCTTGTCAGTACAAATTGTTTGGGAAGAATCTCTTCCTTTCAATGATGTAGTCTCATTGAAAGAAAAATCCTTACTAACAAGAACCTTATAGGCTCCTAGATCCCATAGCTTGTGACTCCGTTGGTATCATAGATCGTCATCTTCAAAAGATCATACTCCTCGATATCAAAGTCCTTTGCATCATTCATCAATAAAGCGGCTATAACATCTTTGATATTTACACTAAAGTCTTTCTTGATATGGCCACTCTTGCCACATCTCCAACAAAGCCATTGTATTTTTCTCAAAAGACAAACCCCTAGATTGGAATCTTTTCCTCTCATCCATAAATTGAAATTTGTTTTTCTCAGGGGTAATGTACATAGATCTTGTCATCTGAGATCTAATATTCTGCCAATCGGGTTTTGCAACATTTTCCAATAAAATGAAAACTACGTACTTGACCTTTAGAGAACAATCATTCTTGATGTGACCACTCTTGTCACATATCCAAAAAACCACCGTCTTCCTTTCAAGGAACCTACTCCTAGACTGAGATCTCATTGTCTTGGATTCAACATTCCTCCAATTTCCGTCATACATCAAACGTGATTGACCATGATTCACAATTGAAACAAGATCAACACTTCTTAAACTAAAGAGGTTTTGAGTATCATTTGAATGATTCAAGGTTGTACTCTCTCTCCTACTTTATTTGGAGTTTTTATAGATGATATCAAAGAGTGGTTGGAGGCATGTGATAATGAAGATGTCAAGCTAGTAAACGCATGAAGTCTAGACGTACGTGCCACGCATATTGTATGCGCCTACATGTCGTGACATGTGTGTCTTCTGCGCATAAGTGTCATGTCTTGCATATCGTCCGCACTTGCATGTTGTGCCACACATGTTGTCAGCATTCTAAGTGGTACTTCTTGCTTACTGACCTGCAAAGCCCATAACCATGTCCATGCCCAAATCCATCCATGCCCATGGCTTATGAATGGGTTTTGCGTGACATTTTTTTTCCATGGATGGACATGGGTGGACACAAGAAAGTGTTTGTCAAGATACAATCAAGAATTTGATTAATTTGACTAGCATGAGTGGGCATGGATGAACACATGTATTGCTATGGATGTACATGGGTGGGCTTAAGTCACTATTGATACTTATGATATGGTATGAGTGAAGATTTGAAGTAAAATGTCGAGCTTTGTTGACCTGTCATGTGTCCATCCATCTTTCATGCTCATCGCACCGCTCTTCTTCTGAACGCCACATGTTGACTTGTCATGAGGTCTGCGTCTACGTGGCCTAACCCCACCACGTCATTACGACACGTGATAACATCACGCGTGTTCAAGGATAGACGTGACGGTTAGGGGAGTATGACATGGTAATTGCTGGAAGTGACGTGTCATTTGCAAGAAGCTAAAGTGTTGTTTGATGAGAATGACATATGTCGCTCTGGATGTGCATCGCGTGCTCGTTTCTACGCGATGCGCCTTGCGCACCGCTCGTGTACGCATGTGAGCTTGCGCTTGCATAACTTTACACAAGACTCTACTTGCGTCCGGTCTCGCACGCGTCTGCGCGACTGCCGATGATATGTTCAAATTTTGTGCCTTTGTTGATTAGAAAATCTTTCAAGATTTCTTTGAGCGCTGAGTACTTTGGAGATCTATTGCGCTCGATCGTTGAATCAGGAATTGAAAATGAGTATCAATTGAAATTGATAGAGGAATTTGATCGTACTTCCCTAGTCTTTGATTCTGTCATGTTAATTTTTTTAAATAGTATGAGTCGGATAATACAATCACACAATTTAACTTCTCGTCTAATAGTGCGTGGAAGTATGAACTTGCAATTATTTTCTCAAGTTCAAATGAGTACTCCAATTCATGGCAAAGCACGTTTTTTCACGATAAATCTCAAGATCACATTGAATAAGCTAACAACACGAGAGACATAAGAGACACACTTATAACGTGATTCACCTTCAAGGGTTACGTCCACGGGAATACACTCGGGAGAGTTTACTATTTCAAACATAAAAACATCATCTCAATCGTAGAAGCATTACGGTACATATACCCAAAATAGGCGATCAATCTCAGCTATAAATAGCTACATAGCTATACATGAGGTTATTTCTTAACTGGAGTTAATCTCAACAACCTCTTAACTTGTGTTAAGTAGTCTTAGTAACCTCTCTAACCTATATTATTACT